CGCTCTCGGTAACCACCGTTTGCAATGTCAATGACAATACCCGACTTAGCGAGGAAGTCTCGACCCAGGATTAGAGACATTGACAGCCCTGGAAGATGTACGAAACGTTGTCGCCTCACGCGTCTGTCCCAGCGGATCACTAGCCTAGCCGCGCCGCTCGATTGTGCTGTGCCCGTAGCTAGACGGAAGATGGTGTTGCTTTGCCTCAAGCGGATGTTGTTCTCGCGGAGATGGTGCAACACATCGTCACCGAATAAAGAAGCGCTTGCCCCAGTATCCAAAAGTGCTACGAACTTTTTCCGAGCTATCGTTAACTCGATTAGCGGCGCGGGCGAGTCTACGGCATCACCTGCGCGACAGACCGACGGTGCAAGTGATCCGCACGCATCGGTAGGATTACTAATCGCCGCGCGGGGTCCCATGTGAATCACCGGCGGCGCCGTCCGTTTCCCGAACCGCGCGTTTGCTCCTGACCCGGCGTGCGGTCGCATTCGCGAGCGATGTGCCCTGGCGCGCCGCACCGATAGCAAGGACCGCGGACACCACGCCGGTTCGCTCGTAACTCGCCTCGATCAGGTGGTCCTCGCTCTGGATTGCGCCGCTCGTTAGGCCTCGCGTCAACCACGTGCTCCTGCCTTGGAATGTCACGCGCAGGGGCGGCGTGTGCCGTACGGAGCGCGTAAGCGTAGGGGTCTAAAGCGCGGTTTGACAGCTCCCAACCGCGTGACACGTGCTCATCAGCGTACGATGCTGATGCGTTACCCCTAAACGCTTCTGAAGTCACTGCGCCGCCGTTCCATGCACAGCGAGGCTCGATTGACTGCGCGGCGGGCGGAGGGGGGCGATACGAACGCGCTGCGAGGATGTCCCCTTGTATGCGCTTCGCCTCGGTGGCGAGCTCTTCGAGGTCTGCGAACCTGCATCCCCTGAAGTGCGCCGCGAAAGTCGGGTGCGCCTGTCGGGTAACACGCTCGACCTTTTCCGCGTTGGTGGCGTGAGGGTTCGCGAGACGATACAATTCGTCCATCGCCCGTACGTATTCCAGCAAGGATTCGTCCGGATGCTGGGTGCGCAGCTCCAACTCCCTCCGCAAACGCCACTCATAATTAGCCGGTAGGAATTCGCCGCGAAAGCTTTCGCGGAACTCTTCTACCGTACGGGCGCGATGTCCGGTTAGTCGGAACCACCGAGCCGCTTGCTCCGTGAGCGACACCGGGACCACGCGCTCGAGAAGTTCGGCATCAGAAAGACCCGTCGCCTGCTGATAATGGAGCAACCGGTCGAGATACTCGTTGGCGCTCTTGCAGTCGTGGTAACCCGTGTAGGTCGGAACGTCTACCTTGACACGTGGTCGCACATTTTGCACGGGGGCCTGCGCTGTGTTCTGCAGGGCGCTCGCGAGGCTTTGCATAACTGACAGCGCATTCTGTAAGAGTACCTCGCTCGAGGGCAAACTGTTGCCCGAAGACTCGCCTATAGTTGAGGCGCGTGTCGTAACTTGTGGCGGCGCCTCTCTGTTCGCGTCGCGAGATGCCGGAGCGCCATGCGGGCCGCTCTCCGTCGTAGGCCTACTCTCTGCTAACGCGGTCTCTGCACCCTCCTGATCATCCCGCGTGAAACGACCAAGCTCTACGCTGTCGGAAAGTCCTAACAGTACCCCCGCGTTAGCCAAAGGATCGCCACTCTGCGACGCGACATCCGACAACATTGACAAATCTTGGAATTCCGACATGGCTATTATCCTACGTGTGGAAGAGCGCCCTGGCACTTGCTCGCGTCCACAGAACTAGCCGCGTTGCCAAATTCGTTACGTTGGGCGCCAGATGTTGGGGGACCGTCCTATGTACGGCTGACGCAGAAGCCTATAGCTAATGTTTCAGCCGCACACAGTCGTTCCGTGCACGGTTAACGTCCCCCAACCGTAGCTTGCCTCATTGCAGCTACTACTACGGGTTCGGGCGAATAAGGCAACTGGCCAGATCAACAACAAACACTTTATTGCTAAGCGTTAGCAATCGCGCGTCACTGTCGCGGGGAGATACTACAGATAACAAAGGTGTTGACGCTTACACCTCGGTCGTGGACGTCCTCGGCTCGCAGGAGGGGTTGCGGGTTCGTCCTCCTGGGATGGTCGCTGGTGTCCGAGAGCGAGCGCCCGTTTGCCCGCTCGTTTTGTTCCCCGACCCGATTTCCCTCTCCCTGACGAGAATGGTACCTTTCCTCGCTGAGGGAGAGGGGAACCTGTTCCTGGCGCCGGGAAAGGGGGGGGAATCGCACGCGCCGGCCGTGGGGGAAGGGGTCCCCGCAACCAGGCGCGTGCGCTGCCCTAAAAGGGAAAGGGAGGCTGGGCGCACCTGCTCCCCACAAACGTTACGGTATGAAATAGGAAGTGGTCCAAGAAAATTTTTTGCACTTTATGATGTCCAATAGCCAAACTTATTTACTATCTGCGACTCCTCTGAGTGCATATTAGATAGAGACATACCCATAAAATATATAGCTTTTAAAAACTACACACCTGCATAAATCGCTACCAACCACTAATATAGTTGTTTGCAGATGGAAAGAAGTTCAATTAGAAAAATAAGTTTATTTACACAAGTAGAATATGCCAGTTTTGGGATCGCATTACTTTGGAAGGAACAAGTATGCTAAACACAGAACAGCTTCCTTAATTGATTGCCACAACCACATTGCAGCACCAGCACACTAGGTAGTATGACGTCATGTTTTCGGGCATTTTTGTGATGTAGTAGTGCTTGATGCATCCATCGTTATGTGTGCAGTCCGTATAAGTTCTCATGCAACTGCATTTCAAAATTCCGTTCAGTTCTTCAAGGTCTATAGTAACCTCGAAATTCTGCCACTTATGCTTCTGCACACCTATCTTTCACGGTCCATATGAGGTGAATCCCTAAACACATGAAATACACATAAAATACACCAGGTGTGTTGGGGGGTACAACTCCTCCCTCGAAAATTTTAAAATTTTGCATAAACACACATGATTGACCCCCCCATCCCCCAACATGAAAAAAATTTTGGTTAAGCTACTGCAAGTCACACTACCAACTTATTTCAGCATTGTTCCTGTGTAAGCGTGTTTGCTTCAGTATTCAGTAGGCTAAAACGGGTCGCACCAACTTGACCCCAGCTAATTACTCCCGAATTCTTCGGACTTTCATTTCTGTCAAAAACTGGTGAGCTTTTATTATTTATTAAACATTTTTTTAGGCTACGCAAAGCTTTGCGCTATCGTTTGCCGCCACATCACGAGCGCCGTACGCAACCCCTTAGGTACACACATTGAGTTAAGAAAACAGAGCGTTGTTTAACGCTACGCTACGTGCCATCTTTTGGAGCTCTCTATTGTTTCTCATGGGGCCACAGCAACGTCGTCAACGTAGACAGCTCTGATTGATTGCCAAACAAGTGTTAAGACGTCATCGATAAGACTGGCTCTCATATTAGACAACGCGTGAATTCTTGCAAGAGACAAATGTGCAACGCCCAGAGATCGCTAATAGCCCTTAGTATGCTTTCTCGCATTACAATAATGTACTGGAGCGAAAGGAACTAAGACCATTTCACTATGAGCAGAAAATTTTAAAACCGCAGTCTTTCATTTTCTTCTCGAGCTAGGGTTGGGAGTGTTTTTCTGGAGATTTATGCCCGTGCCCGTAAAAAAGAAATGAACCCTCAAAATTCTATAGCCTCCCATGCTAATAGGGAAAGTTTGCAGGTCTACATTTACCATGATTACACCAAAAGGCAAACGGGGGCATGACCGCACTGTATTCAGGATGGTAGAGCATCGCACGAGTTACTTGAAGGTCGCAGGCTTGGTCCCCGCCAGCCGCAAAATAACTTTTCGCCCATTTTCTTTCTTCATGTTTACGTCATAATCACTATAAAAAACGTCTCCTGTACTTTTATTGGCATGCTACTTCTCCTTACCCTAAAATACAAGAATTCAGTGTTCGTACATTTCAGTCGACGCATTCCTTTGAAGGGTCGCTCACTATAGTTGGATAAGCTTTAGAAGTCTGCAGCATTTCCTACTCAAGGGGTGTATGCCTGCATTAATGGGCACGCACTTCAATGAGAGTACACTGTACTTCAACCGACGTCTTGAGCTGGATGGCCGGTGACTGGAGAACATTGCCGAGTGCACGAACTATTTTCTCAGTCGCGAAGGCGACTGAAGAAATGGTCATACAGTGTGGTTATACACTGGAAGTTTTATGCACCATCAATGGCAGATTCTATGAAGTAGTTGTTTAAATCGATTCATTATACGACAAGTTTAAGTGTGACATGCTACCACGACTCGTGGAGGCCAGCTTCGCTGCCAAAGCAGACCCGGTTAGCACCTGCAGGCAGCCATAGTTACCATATGCAAGGGTGTGTGTCATGTTCATGTGCTAGACCCCACCTCCTTTTCTTTCCCTATTTTGTTTTGCAGTGCACATACTGAATGCACACACTGTAGGTTCTATGTTGGATTAAGAACTTAGTGGCATTCCTTGTCTTGCGCTTCATAGACACGTTCCAATTATATAGGTACACACTATCCAAACCACACAGGCACATCATATTGTCCAGCCAATCTACCCATCGTTCTTGTTTGTTTTCAATGCCCAATCTTCAAATAGGTCATTGAACATGAAATTACTCATTTGAAATTTCTGTGGACACAAAAAGGGACGCTGGGTCCCTTGAAAAGCATGCCCCTATAGAAGTTATTTACTAATTTTTGGTGGTCAATGTCCTAAAACAACACAAAAGTTATGAGGAATGGTGCAATGGAAGACTGAAGTAATAGTTACGTGTGGTTCTGTAATATAATATGCTTTCAAGTAAACATGCTATTCAGATTCCTTGCCCATGGCAATGGGACTAGGAAGGAAACCAAAAGCACTTGCACTCTGCAAGAGAACGGCATAGCCACCGTAAGGTGTGAAGGCCTTCTCCGCATTGGAGGCATCAGGGCTTCTGACTAGGGGTTTTTAACGAACAGTTTTATTGTACTAGGATGACAACACTGGCACCTGCCAGCATATCTTTGTACACAAGGATGGTGCAGCCGATAAGACCATCAGTCTGCAGAGCCATGGGAAGGTTTGACCACTGGATACGGCACTGCAGTGTATGGCATTAGCAGCTTACTTGCACAAAACATTATGTTTGAAAACAAAATGGAATGTTTCCTGAGCTCAGGTGTGTCGAAGGGCAGCTTTTATGCATAGCTATTAGGCCAGAGGCATACGTCATTCTAGCAGAAACACTGTCCAGCAAAGCAGTGAGGAAGTGGCTTTAAGCGGCAATGTTCAGCACAGTGGTGTAACCAGGGGGTGGCACACCGGGCCTACACCCCCAACCCTCCCCCTGAAATTTTTTTCCACCACAGCATATAGAGCACAAAATGACCATTTGCCTGCCTGGCCCCTACTTCAGATCAACGAGGTGCGCTTCACGAAGAAAAAATTTCAGCCTGTGCCCCTGGCTCAGCATACCTCCATCACAGGCTTAGCTGCTTTTCACAATGGCGATAATGAAGACAAAGCGAGGGAGAACAAGCACAACAGGGAAATTCACCAAGTCCATGTTTACATGGAAAAAAAAAAAAGATTTGTAAGGCAACAAAACGCGGTTGTGCGGTGCGCACACATATTCGTCAGCCATTTCACAGCGAGATAAAGCAACTGTATCTGTAAGTACATTTCATATCTGCAGGCAAAGTCACCGGAATAATTTAGCAATACAACTTCCAGCCTGCTGATCAGTCTGTTGACAGAACATTTGCTTTGATGGCAAAGCCTGTAAAAACTCCAGAAAATTTCCTAATGGCACTGAGTGTGTGCATTGCTCACAAGATAGGTGAATGTTCAAATGTCACACATGCACATGTACTCGCATGGCGAAGCATTACGTTGGCATAGTCTGGTGCACAATGTCCGCAGGTTTCCTGGGTACCAAGGTGGCAAGACGTGGGCCAAAGCATGTTGCCACTCTTGCTAGGCAGGCAATTGCTGGTTACCTAGGCTTTCAAGCTACAAGGCAGGACCACAACAAGAAGCCAAACTGCGAGTCCTGTAAGGCAGTTTCATTCTTCTTGGATAGCCCACCAGTCTCCTTTTGCAGGGGGCATGGCTATACAGAAGTCATGTAAAAAAGTCATTCCCATGAATGCCTGCCACAAACACACACTCACATACACACGACCACTTGCACAATGGCAACAGTCCCTGGGCTCGTGGTGAAGACAGGCTTCCGACCAGTTCAGTAGATAACTTCATACACAGTAGCCTTCTTGTCTCCAGAGCCAGTGACGATGTACTTGTCATCAGAAGAAATGTCACAGCTCAGCACTGACGAGGACTCCTTGGACTGGAAGCCCATAAAATGAGATGACAGAGTCAAGACCAAGATGATGGGAAAACGTAATACCGCAAAATTTAAAGGCATTATTTTTTTCTGACCTACTTTAGCATAACCACAGATTGCTTGGTGGCAAACATTCCTTCGTTCATTTCTTACAAATACCCTCCCCTCATACTGTAGTACCTCCCGATTACATTGCTAACAAGAATTGCTGAATTAAACTCTGACAATTCACGAACAAGGATGAATATAGGATAGCCTAAGCACAGGAGACATGAATGGGGAAAGCAGGGAGCACGCCAATTTGATTAGAGATGGTGCCTCGACTGTCAAGACGCCAACTCACATCCACAACCGGAAGCGCGCTTTCTCTGCTCCAATGACCACGTCATAAAACTACTCATAAAGTAGCGCCAAACCACTTCTCCCGTTTCGATTACACTCTTTTTTTTTTAACAGTTCAAAAATTGTATTTTGCACTCAATAACAGAGGCATTGTTTTTGTATTATTATTCTTCAAAGTAATGTTGACTCATGTTCATATTATGTGACATTTCACAGAATATCCCATTTCTTGCGATGTTCCAGTGCTGTGCACGCACAGTACAATTACATTGCATTTTTTTAGTGTTTTCTATATGTAGTGTGTCCCCCCTATGCAGTATCCTCTAACAGAGGGCCTTTGGCATATAATGAAATAAATAACTATACTTCTTAATTAAGGGGGCAGACTGGTCTTAGACATTTTTTGTTTATTTCTTCAGTGTTTTTGATAAAACTACCCAGCGTTATGCAGTTCTTTCTGCTGATTTCAAATATTTAATTAGTTTTCCAGTAACTCACTTTGTTCCTGAGATAAGTTAAGTTCACCCCCTATTGTTTAAGGCCACCATAGAAAAAAAAGTGCCTAATTAAAAGTGAATTTTAAGATATGCCAACAGACTAATGACTATAGAGTGAAAGTATGGAAGAGGTTTTTGTTTTTAGGCCTTTATTGGTTATTTTGCAGCAAAATGAACTATACATTTTCAAAAGCAGTTGAAATTATGTTACAATTTTGATGAGTAAGTAATTAAAAAGACATGTGCTCTAAATTCTGCTCCCATACTTGCATTCTACGCACATACAGGTTTCCGCTGCAAAGAGAATTGTTGTACCTGCCCTAGCTGCAGAGATATTGAGGCCTCAAAATTGAATAGTCACAAATTTACTTTTTTGAGAAAAATAAAAAAAAAATGAAAACACACAGTTTCTTCAAAAAGCAACAATCATGGTGCGCATGTTTTGCAATCCTCATGAAGGCGCTCATAAATTGGTAGTAGAGCTTTAGACAAAGGTGCTGGCAAATTATAAAGAAGCCTCAAGGTCGGTTCCCCATTTTTTTTGCAGGTTCTGCATGTTAACAGCACCAAGAATCTGGACAGTTAAAATGACATTACAAAAAAATACTATTTCCTGGTATGTGAAAATTTGTAGAGAGATAGAAAAATACTTGCAGAAACCAAATATGTCAATTTTTAAAAATAAATTTTTTGTCACTTTTTGGTCCCAAAGAGCAGTCTGCCTCCTTAATGATATGAGCAGTTAAGACTAGATTGGGAAACATGGTTCATTTTTCTGGTGCATTCAGTCAAGCACGGAAAGCACCCAGGTTCAATACTTTCCCTGTGACCTTTAAATAAGAAGTTCAGCTGAGCGTGATCGTGCCCTTCCTAGATCTGGATACCAACTTCATCGCTCTGACAGAATGAGTGCTTTTTTTTGGTCCTCGGCAATGCTCTCAAGTAATAAACAAAAATTACCTGGAAAATGGATGCACCGTAGGGTGTCCTCCAGGCATTGAGCAGGTTATCCTTGCCCGTGGAGACAAACCACTTGCCACACGATGCAAACTTAAGCGACAGGACACAGCTTTCATGCAGGTGTAACTGGTACTTGTCTGGCTTGCTGCAGTGCAGAACTTCCACGTTGCTGCTCTCCATGCTGCATTCAGAGAAAATGGGAGTTGACACTAAGCATTTTACACATTAGCGGAGAAACGTGACACTGCCGTCAGTTTTCAAACATGTATCTTTACCGTATAAAATGCACAAACTAAAAATAGCATGAAAATTTATGACATGTTTCTCCTGTGTGGCTATCAGGGTTGTAAGTTCTAAAGGCCCAACCATGTAAGATCTTATTTTATATAAACATTCCTTGCATTTAAGAGCACTCCATGCTCCTTAATAGCAAGCCAACTTCTCTTGAATCTACATTCACATCCATTTTTTTTTCTCGAATAATGTACCCTTGCCGTGCAAAACAAGCAAATCAACGAGAAAGCATATCAAAGAATGAGACAGCAGTCATTTCTTATAGCCATTTTTCTAGTGTGGCAACCGGCACTGTGAAGACTGCATCACAATCTAAATCAAGATGCATATTTCATGCATGACACCCCATAGTACAGTGGGACCTGCATGTATCATGCCACCATATAAAGAATTATTGTGGATATGAAACAGTTGTTAAATCCCCTCAAAATGTTTTTGGTAGACAATATATTTTTTCTATCAAATTACACCTCAACCATGATATAAACAACTCGGATATAATGAAATATAAGTTATAATGAAGTAAATGAAGAATACTTTTGCAATATATATATCTATAGTGTCAGGAATAAATCTCTTATTGAATTTTCACTTATAAAGAACTTATTCTCAGGCAAAATGCGATCTTGTTATTATGAGGATTGAGTGTACCTAGATATACAGAACTAAGTAAAACAAACGTTGGGTGAGCTGGTGTTGGTTCAAGATAATTGAGGGAGGCACGAAATACACAGCACACAAGAAGAAGAAGAAAAGAAAGCACAGGACGACGCGAAATTTTATGCAATCACCTTTAGAGTTGGTGTATCCAGGTTCGACTGTTATATACTTATAGGTATTTTATTAGGAAGAAAGTTCCTGTGAACAATCTTACAGCAATAAAACAGCCCTAACAATGTTCTGTTTCTATCGTCTAAAGTTTCATGTTATCGCAAATATGCAATCTTGGCACCTATAACCTCCAAACGACTTAACATAAAGCTGCAATGCTATATTTCAACACCTACAGCAATCGCTATTCTAAGAGATTAGTCTCATTTTGCAAATCCTTAGGCTGCATGAATTAGAGTCTTTTCTGTAGTATGTTTATTACATAACCAGAAGTGGCCGCTGAACTCTGCCTTATGATTGGCTTGCAGAAGAAGGCAGAAGTGTGCTATCAAATGCAGTGTGGAACACAGTGGACTGGTGCTTACCCTACAGCTAGCCACTCTCCTGTTGGGCAATAGCCGAGGGAGAAGATCTGTGATGTGAAATCGTGCTGCTGCAGCTGCCGTCCCTGCATTCAGAAGATACAACAGTGTCACTGGTTAGCAAGGACACCCCAGTCTCCAGCTTTTAACAGATGCTGCAAGCAAGTGACATCTGAATTGATTATGTTACAGCACGACTATAAAAGGGGTGGAATAACCTGGGAAAGCAGTCAGCTTGAGCACCAGCTGTTCCGCGTATTTCTATAGGGATCTTCAGAACAGCTGAACCCAGCATTAACGAAATCAATAAAAAAAAATGAGAATGTGCTTTCAAGAGAATTTGATTGTATAAAAGACACGATAGGCAGAAAATGTGCTGAAAAATGAAAGTTTATGTGAATGACGTGTTAGCCTGCTTTTGGCAAGTTGCACGAGGCCATGCAGAGCCGCACTGGTGATGGCACAAAATTTGTCTGTTTCATCAGTAATGATGGCACTGGCATGTAATTAAGCAGACTCTTGTGTCAGTTTTCCGAATGAGGTTACATATGCATAACCTGACAACGTGCATGTTGTTGTCTGCAATCAAAAGTATGACAGCTAAAACACTACTACAGCAAAAGCTCGTTAATTACACTTGTTTATTAAGAAAAATGGATCGTCAGACATGTTCCTTGGTTCCGGCGAGTGTAGGCATTGTTTAATGGCATCAAACTCACTGATTTGGACACATTTGGCCGCAACTTGTTCAATTTGGATGCTTCTCGGAGCACATCGATCACAAACCACCACAAATGTGCGGCGTAAAAGCACGAAAACCACATTCCCAGGCCACTGAAACGATCATGGGCATTCAAGAAGCCGTGGTCACCGCCTACAACCACGTTGTTGGTACATAACTATGTACTGGCTCAGAGGACGTATCCAATTAAGCACAGGGGTTTTGAGCAGTGTTCACATTTTGAATGAAGTCGGCGACGAATATTGAGACTTTTACACAGTGCTTCTATGCAAATTAATTACCGTATTTATTCGAATCTAGGCGGATAGTTTTTTTTTTCAAATTTCTTTGCGTCATACTCCAGGATGGGCTTAGATTCGAAGATTTTGAAAAACGCGCCAATTTCCATTGAGAAAAGTGGTGCACAACTAGCGTCACCCAGACTGTATTGTAGCCATTAGCAGCCGCATTCAGATCTTTGTCGCGAGTGTTGAGGCGAGCCTTTTTCATTTCGAGTCATGCTCTGAGTGGTATGTGTGTGGCGTAACCCAATGGCGCCAAAGAGGCCGTGTCATTATATAGTGCCGCTTATAAAAGGAAAGTTGTCCTAGTCGCAAAATCGTCGTCCAACGTTCAAGCTGGGCGGGGCTTCGGAGTGGACGAAAAAAATTCGCGTCACCGGAGGGGCTGTAGCGTGCGACGACATCCCAGGAACATTGATTGTGCACTCTTTTAAAAAGTGCGGAATATCCAATGCACTTGATGGCACCGACGACTGTGCACTGTTTGAAGACAGCGACAAAGAAGTCAACGACGAGGGAAGCAGCGACGACGACTCAGAATGAGCGCGGCATTGGCAAGCGCGGCATCTTCATAATGCAAATAATTAGAAGCAGCGCAAACAGGATAATGACAAGGACACACAGGACTACCAGCGGTATGTTTATCGAGTTATTTTCATCATGAACCAACTGTTTTGTTTTAGCTTTATGTTCAATAAATGTTATATCTTTGTGAACACTGTCTTCACTGTTTGTGGGCCGGCCTAGATTCGAGTAAATACAGTACTGGTATTATGTATTAAGAAAGTAATGGTGTATTGATGTAATAGACATTTGTTAATTGTTTGCTTCATAGTGTTGATAATTCGGCATTAATTCGAACAGGCTTTATTGGTATTGTGAAATTTGAATTAACAAGCATTTACTGCATTATCTACCCATTTATTTTACATGTCAGCAGATAAAATGAAACTGCAACAAATCCATGACAGAGATCTCCATAGAGCCTACAGTATCACTTTGCACATTGTATGCCTACTGGTTAGTGAATACCACAAGTGCTTAGTAAGTTTTATTTTGCGACATTTCGACGTGCCCCTCCACTCATGGTGTGTGGATAATGCCACAATATGCTACAAGAGATTTTTCATTTTATCAGTAACGGAAAAGACTGATCAACAAAACACTTAGACAAGAATGAGGTTATGCCAGATAAACAAGAGAGCTTCACAAAGCCATGAGGACAGCAATTGATGAAAATGCCAGTACGACTTATAACTGACAACCTGTGTGACTGCAGGCTTAATTTGAGACAATGCTTGCAGTTGGCGTTAAAGGTGTACTAAAACGATCTCGAAACACCATAAAAGGGACATTTTTTTCTTTTTCTTGGTATTAAGTGTTAATGCTCATCACATAATGGAATCAGCCAACATGCATAAAATATTTTCTTTGATTTTAATGTTTTCACCGCATAGCCCAAAAAATCCAGCCCCATCGCAATGGACATTATCCTGAAGAGTGAACACAGTCCGACCGAGTTTGCCAACTCTGTGTTGTGCATGCAGCCCACAATAGAGAAATCACTGTCGAGGTTGCTGAAGATAATGCACGCATCACACTTGTACTTGCACGCATTTACTTGTACCGCAAGCAGATGGCAGATATACCATTAGTACAGTGCAAGTTACCGTCTCCCTGTTATGTTACACCGGCATGACAGGTCACTGTCTCTCTGTGACAGGTCACAGAGAAGCCGCCACTTCGATATCGAAACCGAAAGTGTCCGTTTAAAGTAGCGGTACTAAAAATATATGCGAAGCATTTCTGGGCGCCACAGCACTTTTTTTAGGGTTCTTAAAGCTAGCCTTCTCATTTTGAGCAACAATTGCAAAAAATTTTAAATTCATGTCAGAACTCCTTAGTGGGCAGAGTCATCCTTTATGGGTGGTGAACAGTTTTTCTATACTACATGTGTACAAGATCTTAGGAACCTAATGCCTACTTCTCGAAGGTCCCAAGAGCGCACGGTGTTGTCAAGACCACCCGTCCAGAGCTTTGTGCCATCACTCGAGATGTCGATGCAGCTGGCCCCATCTGTGTGGCCCTGGAACTGCCTGCATGTGTAAGCAGAAAGATGGGTTGCTAGTTCAATTGACGACCTTCATGCACCGTGCAACATGAGCCACACTGTAATGATGAGGCTCAGTGAAAATCACGTGAATGTGATGAGTGCCGTGCATGAGCTAGGCATACAAAAAATTGTCTTGGTTGAATGTTGTCAACGGGGCCTCGCAACCCAAATTACGCATGTCACTTTTCTTGGTTGTTGTCTTGCTAGGGCATTGACACCTGTGGCACCAGTAATAACGGCCAGAGTAAAGTGCTTGATATTATAGTAATTTGTTTCCAAAGAATGTGTCCACACCGACTGCAGCACCATATATCAACAGTTAATGCTGCTGAAAATGAGGTATTGCTCAGGTAATGCTGTTAATTTTGATCGGTAAGAAATATATATACACTTAAACCTCAACAAACCTGAATATAAATTACCAGTTACAACAAAGTAGGTGAAGAAAAGTATTGTTGTAGACACAGTGTTAAGAATATACATTTACAATGAATTTTCGGATATAACAAATTATTTTCATGGCAGATCTGACTGTTATAGCAAGGTTTGAGTGTGTATTGCACATGATTGTAATGCACTCATTGTGCAGAATTTTGAAATTGTAATGTTAATACTTCTTTCAGCTGCGAAAGAGACACCACTTTGTGCGTCAGTATCTACAACTGCAGAGCTCAATGCCACTGTAGCACTGTCGAATGTCAATGCATCATACCTTAATTTATATATCAGGGCAAAACCGCTCATGGCGATACAGAGAATTTCTCTACACTTTCAACTTTTGGTGTTGAAGTTTTTACCTAACAGTGTTGTCCTCCTTGTGTGGCATCGATCTTGGTGGCGTACCTGAAACTTTTAGCAGTGTGTTTTTGCAGGTGGAGACATGCAGCACATCACTTCTTCGTGGGAGCTAGCACTGAAAGTTTGTCCAGTAAGAGCAGCTTATCGTTTCTGATGCATTTTTTCCTTTCATTTGTCAACAGAGTAGTCTGCTTAAACATTGCGACTATGAGTCTGTCAGAAAGTGCAGCACTCGCATGCTGCACGAAGGCCACCATACGCTGAAGCGCTCCATTACAGAAACATTTAGGCAGTGTTTTGAATGTAAGCAGACTAAACCACACTGATTTCACTGGGTAAGTGAAATACAAAGGTGCACACCAATTCCTTTCACTCGCTAACATTTTTATTTTAGGAATACAAGAACTTCTGTTTGCAAAAGTATCACCAAAATTCTTTTTGCATTTATATAACGACGGAATGTCAGACTATGTGTGTGAAATTTAGGTGCAGGGACAAGTTTGCCAAGTGACAGCTCAGTGTTGCTTGCTTTGGGATAGAACGAGACTATTTGGCAGTTTTAACCTAATGCTCATTGTGGGCATCGTGGCTCGATGGCCTTGCTCCTCCTCCTTCCTGGTTCTTGCGGGGTTCAAGCCAGAAAGTCACTAGCAGTAACTACAGCATCTACATTTGCCCCAAAATAAAACACACAAACACCGCAAGGTGTCATCAGTGTTCTTGGCGCAAATGTGCAGTGCAGTTAGATGCAGTCAGCAACTCTGGCAGTTATGGTTCAATTTTTCTAATGTGTCTCACTAGCATTTGACTGAAGCTGTTCAGCTGGCATTCTGTTCACACACAAGAAGCATGTAATGAAGCACATGATCAGCACACTCATCTGCTGGAGAAACATCGGTGCGAATTCGACAGTGTGAACTTTGCACGATTTTGCAGGCAAAGTATAATTTTCTGTAGTACTGGCACGAGTTGGCATGACTTTGTCAGAGTTTCAATGCCAGATTCATGGAACGAGGCCGTTTGTGGATTTGTACCTGGACAAGTACAGCTATCCTAACAGGCTACATGGCTGCACATGCGTCAAGTAGGCTCACCAGCAGTCCCAGACAAGTAAAATGATCCAAGTGCTATGTTGGGACAGTCACAAAGAGCAGGCTTGGTGAAGCCTGCGACTTGATCTTATGGGTAGAGTACTACCGTATTTATTCGCGTAATGAAACCACTCACGTAATGAGCCCACACCTTGGTCCTTTCAGAAGAAAAAAAAAAAAAACTTTTTAACTGTATCTTTTCATTTTATTTCGGCATCATAGTGCCATTGACGATCGAAACAACATTAAATCAAGCCAGTATACCACAAAATAAAAACGTAATAAAAGGCAAAACGTAGTTTCGCAACCATGCCCATGCTAAGCAGTTTCATGCAGCGTGAGCGCGGACGACGTCAATAAAATTTTTAAAGTCCGCCACTCGCAGCAGACCGCATTTGTCCAATGCAGGAGAAACCTCTTTGCTGATAGCGCCAGGCAAGCATAGCGGCACAAAAACAAGGCGAAAAACAAAACGCGGGACTTCTGAAATGGCAGGTGCATGGCATAGAAACACGCCGCATGGATGAATGGTGAACCCCATGAGTGCCCCCTTTATACCAAGCCGGTGACGTGTACCACCAGACTCGCAAGAAAAAAAATTTGAAAAGAAAACCTTCCTTTCATGTTGGCCTAATGCCTTATCTACTTCGAATAAATCAATCTTACTATAACAAAGAAAAATGTAAATTTATGTTTCATCTCTCCTTCTGTTCAGGCAGAGTGACCTCGTTTTCCCACTATTTCTGTCCTTTATCTCTACTTTCCCGCCACTAGTACTCTCTAACAGTCTCTTACTTGCTTCTATCGCGGACGTGCTCAGCTGCACACAGAGCGCCCGTCATCTCGGAAGCCATGCCAAGTGCTTTCGCACCCACCGAGTCGACGCTACGTTTTTGTTGTCGGGTTTGTTGTGAGCTTGAGACACCTGCTGCGCCGGGCGCATTCAGCAGGTATGCTAGCTACATGGCTGGTTTCGAACAGCATGTGCTGGAGCATGGGAACTGAGTGGCTGGACGACATTACGGCGTCGATCCATGCACTTTCATTACGGGAGGAAGCTTCGGACTACAAAAAGAGGATTTGTCGTGCATTTCATGAACCAAAACAAGCAAAGGCGTCACGCGAAATTTTTGCGCTGTTATAACTTCAGTGACTTTTTTCTCCCACGTAATGAACCCTCCCACCAAATTGGCATCAACTTTTCTGGAAAAAAAAAAAAAAAAAAAAAAAAAAAAGGTGGGTTTATTATGCAAGTAAATACGGTATATACGGCACTATCTGTCTTGGACAATGCACTATGCGCAATAACACAATCGTCATCTTCAGAACAGTGCAATACACACGTGGGCAGGAAAGAACACCGCAGCAGGGTTTTTCTATCTATGTGCCCAATGTCCCTCTTTGGCAATCTGCATTTTGCACTTTTCCTAAGAGAACTAGTCCAATCGTCTGTTCTACTCATTCTCTCTGCCACTTTATTTGTTCATTTTGCCCTCATCAGCTGCAGCTCCCTTCCAGAAAATTTGCTGAACAAATAGTCAACAAACTACAAAAATGCATGTTGAACATGTCAACATAAGTGGTTCAAAGAGTTTCTAAAATGCTGTAAACAAAGTAAGAAACGTCTGAACGTCATGATCAGAGCAACTTGCACCTTCATACTGTGAAACCAGCAGTTTTATGACACAGTCCTAAGGCTCAGAGTTTCTGCATGGCTGACAGGCAAAACCTTGATAAATGTTAAAACAAGCCTGGGTACTCTAGCTTGGCACAGCTTTTGAAAGCATACCAAGTTGAGTGTGTTGAAAATCGTTAGCATATAAGATTTTTTCTTATAGCAATGACCCGTGTGCATGAATTTGGTGTGAAACAAGTTTGACTGTACATTTTCCTATTCTAGTGACCCCTCCAGCCTTCTTATGTACCTCAACACAATGGTCGCAAGTGAAATAGAGAACGTACCTCACAAGGGTTTGATTGTGCAGGTCCCAGACAGCAATGTTTCCATCTGAGCAGCAGCTGAAGCAAACCTTCGAGTCAGGGCTGATGGCCAAGGCATAGCAAGCTGGAGCATTTGAGGTCAGCTCTGCCTTGATGCGTGGGGTCGGCTGGAACAGGATAGATTCAAACGTTTAGGTACCAATACCATTAAGACACAGCAGCAAAAGGGACATGAAGTGCAGAAAGGTATTTAGCAAATATCTATACATAGCTATCTTCATTCTTAGTAAGGAAAACAAGAATGTACATAAAGAATTTTTTGTACCTATTGTTACACAACGACGCCAATTATTTGTAAGATGGACTAACAAATAATTGCCAATGCCTCTAAGACATATGCTTCTTGGCGGGTGCTCTTTTGACAAACCCATATTCATAATAATATGAATATTAAGGAACTTCAGGAATACTGTTTTCAGAGTGCATTATGGTTAAAATATGAAGATGAAATAGCGAAATAATAAAAACAAACTGAAACAAAGAAAAACACCTGTGCCTTCAGCCATGTTGTTAGGACACTAACATTACTTTTACTGCCAAGCACGGCACTTTTTTACATATAGTCTGCATTATTTTGTTACTGCAAAAGGCTCGCCACAATGCCTGATGTGAAAAACAAATGTTCTAGTTGCTCACCGCTGCCAAATCCCAAATGGAAATAGTGCTGGCTTCGCCTCCAACTATGAGCGTCCGTCCATCGGGAAGAAGCTTGCAAGATCGGATGTAGTTGTCTCTTTGCTGCAACCCAAACACAGACATTACTAAGTACAGAAGCTCTCTCTGTGACATTCAAAAGAGGTGGCAAAGTAGTAGTGGATTTAAACCATCTGCTGATTAACCTGCTTTGTTTATTAGGTAGAATTATTGCATTATGACCTCAGCTGAGAAATTACCAAGGTAAAAAAAAACTCGCAAACCACATGCACCATACCTGGCACCTACTTCGTTTACGTGTGCAAATTCTCAAAACGAGAAGGTTGTTTAGTCTACACATGCACCATTCCATTGCTACACCCTTGCATACAATACTAGTAACAAAGATGCTCACCAGGCAATCCAGCTGAGACACTGGGCTTTTGGAGCCTGGCTGGCTAATGTCCCAGACCTTGACGCAGCCCTGCAGAAAACACCATTACGGATACGTACGTGGCACTTAGCCAAGACTGCACAATTTCATTTTCAAGCAAGCAAACAAAAGAAAGCTAAACTCTAAAGCACTTGAAAATTCAGCAGTATACATCATACAATGTGTCCTGAATCGCTTTTATAGTTAATCAAGTGTTTATTGCCTCACAAATATATTGCCACAAAAATTTCACAAATCCATTAATAACAGCAAAGTTACAGGATTTTAGCGCATGTTTTAAGGACTTTCTCTTTTTACTCGTCACAATTAGTGCACTAGAAGCTAAACAGGGCGAGATGGCACAGTGTAAAGGCATTATGTCACTGCACATTGTGGCCTTCGGGCATGCATGTAATATGGCGAGCCTAGTATACACTGTATATCCCCTTCAGCAGCAGTGTGTACAATTGTACACATAAACTTCGGAAGCACGTTATGTAATTCCCATTTCTTCAAAAGGCTTGAAACGCACTGTGCATATTTGCAGAGGTTTTCAGAACGCACAACTGGCAGTACTTTAACTTCGTTGTGCTACACGTTGCTTAAAGGGGCCCTATGACACTATTTGAACATGTATTTTTTATTGGTTCTTCTGGTGATGTGGAACACGCCGATATTGTTGCTGTTATAATTTTAATTCACGGGCAAACTACCTTGATTTCAGACTATGGCAACACACATATGCTATTTTGTTATGGGAAGTGATGTCATGTCATGTGATGTGAAGACAAGGACCGTTCGCTTTTTTATTGGCTTGGCGCGACAAGTAGTGTGCAATGTTCATATGTTGGTAGCTAGGCTATACGAGTGAATGCTACGAACAGCAAAAACATTTTTTACACTTTCTCAGAAAGAAATCATTCCTGTTTATAAGTGATGTATTTTCAGAACAATGAACACCCCACTTAGCCTGTGAATGAGGCTATGAGACGCCGGCAACTAAAGGTGGAAACGCATCCAAAAGCGAGCCAAAAATGCGACAGGCGGTAAATGCCGGCGTTGCCGTAGAATGAGTCTTACAAGCAAGCCGAGAAGTGACCCCGCCCAAAGCGTATGTGTATTTTTCATAGTTTGACCGTGTGAGCGTCTGCTACCCGACGCACGTGGTTTGTAGTAACCGTGCATACGATGCCGTCAGAGAGAGCGGTAATGAGGCATTGTGGGAAGGCCACCACAAGGTGACATTCCTGGTATGTCTTTATGAGACTTGCGCTGTGATTGGAAACGGTCTTTGACGTCAGCAGGCGAGTAAAATGCAAAAAAGAATGTTTCTCGTCATCGTCTGCTCAAGTTTCGAACTTTGAGGACTCATAACTTCACTTACTGTGCACTAATTTCCATAATTCTTGTCGCATTTGTCTCAATAACCATCACTACGTGCGTTGTGGCGCTAAATAAGGTCGTCCCAAAAGTGTCGCAAGGCCCCTTTAACGTGATCAATTTACTGGAGACACAATGATATCCGTTGATTGTTCAATGGGCCGTGTTGCAAGACCAACATCTAGAGTATTTCATTGCTCGAAACAAAAACAAACAAATACAACCGAAAAATTGCAGGATATCCATAGAGTGAATGATGATTGGGGCGAAGCATCCGCCCATCCGTGTGTCTGGACAGAGGCACGCACACACGTACGGGCGGACGGAAGCATAGATGGATGAACGGATGGAAGCACGAAAAGACAGTGACACGTATGGACACATGGACAAAAGCACGGATGGACGAACACACGGACGGACAGAAGCACAGATGAAGGAACAGACGTAAGCACGGACGAATGGACGCTTCGCCCCACTCGTCATCATTCACTCCGTATATATGCTGTGGAAATCCCTAACGCCATCTAGTTATATTATTCCCGAAGAGGTATACACACACAACGTCATCTGTTGAGCAACTAATGAACTACAGGTGGCTACATACATACGACTGAGAAGGGAACGACCCACACCCTAAGGTGCTTCGCCCCTAAAAACAAACTGTGCAAGCATTTTGGGCCTAATATTGGATTCTTTTTAGCAAGGACTGAAGCTGACTGATTGCAGAATAACTAGAAATTTTATTACATGTACACTAATTAAAATTTATTGCAGAAACTGATACAAATGAACTCATTCCTTAACTTTCTTTTTTGGAATGGAACACTGAGTGCCTATCGGAATTCGACTCATTTACAGACAGTACTGCAATAGAATTCGTGCCTGAAGAACATATAACTGTTCGGTATACAGTGGAACCCCGCTGTTACGTTCCTCATTGCTGTGTTTTCTCGGCTGTTACCTTGTATTTTATCGGTCCCAGCATAGCTCTCGTAGAATCCTATGTACTGCAAACCCCGCTGTTATATCGCAATTGTGAGAATCGATCCCGGCATAGCTCTCGTAGAATCCTATGTACTGCAAACCCCGCTGTTATATCGCAATTGTGAGAACGTTCTTACATGATGCGTCGCAACCTAATCCGCTGAACCCACCCGGGCACCGCCACTTTCATTTGACATTTGACAGTCTTGGCATGGCTTGGCTACGGACAGGCTACAAGAAGTCGTCAAGAGAGTTGTAGAGGCCCTTTCTAGATGGCTATGTGCAAAAAGTGCTATCACCATCATCACTGTGCTTACAACGGAAGTTTCACTACGGAATGCCGGAAGTGCGTGACAGTCCTACCCCTAGCGCCGTACGCCGCACGTTTTGACTCATCTTCAGTCGCTGTTGTGTGCGCTAAGCCTGTTACCGTTCAACTTGTCAATGCAATCTTTGTCAAGCCTTAATGGCATCGCACAAGCGGAAAGGGCTTTCCCTTGAGGAAAAGCTGGACACACTTAAAACAATCGACAAGCAGCCAGTATGAAAATGAGACGACGTTGCCAAAGACCTTGGACTGCCACGGTAAACGCTCAACAGCATCGTCTGGAAGCATGCCGAGATTGAAGAGAATGCCGCTCTTTTTGGCCCGAAAGCCAAGCAAGCTCGTGGCGCCAAGCACGGGAAGCTCGACGAGGCACTTCTCAACTGGTTTAAGCAAGCTCGCACTGCTGATATCATCTGTGACGACAGGATTTTAAGCGAGAAGGGGATCGAAATAGCAGAGAGACTGATTTCGCGCTGATCAGCGTAAAATGACTGGATCGACCGTTTCTGCAACAGGCACGGCATCACTTACAACACGGTCGGAGTGCCAGAAAATCGCAGAGATTGTTGCAAACTCGATCACAACTGAAGATAGGGAAATCGATGAAGAGCACGAGCCACACGATTCTGATGAGTTGGCAGGGAAATCAGCCGATCTCAACTTTGGAGAAGTTGTCGCGACCTTAGACTACCTGCACAGACACCAAAGCGACGCTGAAAGTAATTCGGCCTTCCATATTATTGAGAAATGCGTGGTGCTTACCAGCAAGCGAAAGAAGTGGCAGTCAACTATCTTAGAATATTTTAAGTCCGCGGCAGTCAAAACGCATGTGCTCTTATTCACTTTTGGAGCTTTCCTCACTGTTGCACTTTCGCTACTGTTATGTTTTTCCTACCTGTTCCGCTGAAGAACGTATGAACGGGGTTTCACTACACAATAATTCGTTATACATGGCTTCGTATATGTGGGTACGACTCTATTGTGGAGACTAATTTTAGTGGATCATGTAAAGTGGCACTAGCAAGTGGCAGTGCCCCGTGACAAGATGCACACCTGATCCAAATGCAGCTCTTGTCGGCTATTAGTTAATCTCATGCTGTCTGCTGGTTGACATCAAGCAGCAGGCACCTGCAGCGCCAAGGAGATTGAGAACTTGTCTTGATATAAAAAGAAGGTGCCTGTTGAAATTGCAACTTTGTACACCACATCTAATGTCTCCTTGCCACGCATGACCCGAAGATTTGGCTGATGTGTTCGTTGCAGTGTCTGCATTCCACAGGATCTTTCTTTTTTTAATTAAGAATGAGGGGTGGTTCATGACCCTTTCAAAGACTCAGTAAGCTAAAACTTTAAAGCACAGTAAGTGATATTTGCATCAAGAAACTTCACTTGTTTAAAAGGAGCACTAGAGAGCAAAATGATTTTGTTGGGTATTAGTGAAGTACAATTTAACAATACAGAGTACACCACTCTTACTGTGATGCGACACTTGGTAAGTGAGAAAATGCGCGGAAAGAAACTGCGGGTGCAGATGCCACCTAGAGATTCTCGCACCAAACAGTGCGAAGTCATCAATTTTTCAACGCGTCTACTCAGTCCAATCCAGCTTTTAGTCAATAAAATTGGAGTGCATTGTAATTTGTGGGTGCCATAGACTTAGTATACGAAGTAAATGCATACGAAGTCAATCCTACAAAGTCAATAGAGCCAATGTCCCGAAAATGCGAATAATACATTGTGTAATTTCTTACAATACGCATGAAGATTACCGTAATCACTCGAATCTAACGCGCACCTTTTTTCCGGTTAAGCGAGTTCATAAATCGCATGCGCGTTAAAATCGAGTACGAACAAAAAAATTACGGTCAATCTATTGCCATCGGCAAATCCAAAATGGCCGCACCCTGCGTGCGTCGGCATGGCGCGTCGGCCATTTATGCCTATGTGTTTCCCATGTGCGGCACTTCGTACGTGTGCTGAGAAGTTCGTCGTCTAGTAGTGCATTAGCATCGACGGCGTGGAAGGGCCGACTCCAAAAACTCGAGTGCACCACGATGCCGCTTTTAAAAGAAACGTCACCGCGTGTGCACAAACGGACGGAAATCGGGCCGCGGTCGTTCGGAGTTCCCGAAACATGCGTGCGGGACCGGCGGAAACAAAAGCAGAAGATTGTCAACAGCAAAGCTTCGCGCAAAGGCTTCAGTGGACCACAGCAGGGTCGGTTTCCGCAAATTAAAGAGCTGCTCGGCGAGTATGTGCTTGAGCAGCAAGCGGCACAGCGGCCCGTGACGACAGAACTGCTCCAAGTGCGGGCTATGCAATTAGTCTTAGAAAAAGGTCTAATGCGGAGCCAGTTTAAAGCGAGCAGGTGCTGGCTAACTAACTTTATGAAGAGAAAAGGCTTTTCCCTTCGAAGGGGAACATGCATATGCGAAAAGTTTTACGGAGGAGTACGATGAAAAGCTTCACAGTTTTCAGAGGTTCGTCCTAAACTTGCGGCACAACAACGGCTACCTGCTTGGGCAAATCGGGAATGCCGATCAGACGCCTCTTTACTTCGACATGCCTGGCACCACAACCGTCGAGAAGAAGGGGGCGAAGCAAGTTCGCGTGCCGACATCGGTCCACGGTAAAACTACAGTGACGGCAATGCTCTGTTACACGTCAGATGGGCACAAGCTTCGCCCGTACCCCATATTTAAATGGAAGACGCTCCCGAAAGGAGTCGTTTTTTCAGGTGGTGTGATAGTGCGGGCCAACGAGAAAAATGTGTGCGCGTTGCAATTGATGTCTTACGAAAGTTTTTTTTTTTCGCGATGGAAATCGGGTGCGCGTTACAATCGAGGGCGCGGTAGAATCGAGTAAATACGGTACAGGGCGAAATTTAAGAATTAAACTTTAACCTTCGATGGTGAACATTTGGCAGAAGTCTGGCCTGGTTAGAATAGGAATGAGGCAATTTGAAAACTCCAACCCAAAATCGTATTCAGAAACAAGATGTTTCGAAGCCGGACCGGCTTCTTTCTCAGGGGTGAGAAAGCCAGAGACATGATGCGCTTATATACTCTTGCTCCCCTTGCATGAGAGGTTCGCCGTGACCGGTCGCAAGCCATGGCAGTAGAGGGAGGGCAATGTCCCAGTGAAGCGGTTGATGTTCCTACTGAATATGCTAGGATTCAAAAGAAGTCGCCGACGGGTGTTCCTTTCCTATTCCAGAATCACTGCATCATCCAGGTGGATGTGGTGGTAAAACCGCTCGCAATGTTCTGCTACTGCACTCTATTGGCTGTTAAGTTGACTGAGGTCGTTTTTGTGCTGTAGCATCCTTTCATAGAAGTTCTTTGTTTTCCCAATATCATAAGCGGGGCAGTCGGTGCACTGGATCTGGTATAAGACGCCTTGAGATTTCTCCGCAGTTGTGTGATCTTTGGGGCAAGGGATGAAGCTGCCAATAGTGGTGGATGGCTTGTGTGCGACGTTGCCCCTTGCTTTGTTCAGTATACGGGCTATTGTTTCGCTGGCGCCGGCGACATAAGTGGTTGACACGTATTGTCGTTACTCTTGCCAAGGGCTCTGTGAACAAACCCTTTTGTCTAGCCGCTGGTGCTGAGGTCACTGATGATTCTTTCCCTTTCATCCTTGCGATGAGCTTATTTTCTTGTCCCTCCGAAAAAGGCTTCGCGCCACAGAAAACTTGTGGCATGTGGGGTGATCCGAGTTGAAACGTGGGTAGCGTTCTGTCTGGGTGGGTTTTCTGAACACTGAAATGAACTGGTTCTGTTGTTGCCTTCTCACTAGTTCATCTAGAAAGGGGAGAGCCGAATAGTTCTCTCTTTTCACTGTGAACTGTATGTCAGGCTCAACAGAGTTGAGGCATGCGAGCAAGCTTTTGTCACCCCCGAGGAAAAAGCCGGTCTGGCTTCGAAATATTGGGTTTTTTAATACAATTTTTGGTTGGAGTTTTCCAACTGCCTCATAACTTCAAACTTTATTTTCTCAGCTAGTAATGAACTCACGATAGTGATACGACATCAGAGTACTCAGAGGGCAGTTTAGCAATCTAAAACAACTCATTGTTTCTCTCTAGTGTCCCTTTAACAGCTTAACTTGTGAAGCAATAAAGAAGCAGTTCACCACAGCTAGGCATTAGGCAGTTGAGGTTTTATACATCTACATCTATGCCGCAAAAAGCTGTTGGGCCCAGACATTAAACACAGAAAACACTGGCACTTGCACCATTCTATTATCCTTGTTTGTGCAAAATATTGCATGTGGGTATGTGAAAAACAAGCCCCATGGAAGTCTTCAACATGCTCCTCGTCAGCACATGTAGCCCAGCAATGATCTGTCACTCTGCTGAGATGAAAACAGCATTGTGGTTCGAGTGAAAAAGATCACTCAAGACCACCCATGGTGTGTTGAAGTGCAGTGACCGCTTTCAATGATGTGCAGCACTGCCATAGTTTTTCCAGAGCCAAGGTGACATGTCGAGTGGAGAATCTGTCTAAAAGTACCTTAGGTGTCAAAAGCTACAGCAGCAAACATCTGCACATGAGTAAGCATGCAATCTAGTAAGCAGTTCGATGAAATTCTCAGTTTTTTTTAAGATAGTGCACACAAAAGACTGAAGGGTACCACATACCTTGCCTCCTGTGTAGACATATTTGGTTGGATTGCTGATGGTGACAGCACACACCACTTCTCCGTGGGCCAGTGTGTTGATCTGCCGTGCGTGCCGCGGAATGCCTGCCCCTACCAATGCATCTGGGGGGAATGGCACTGGCTGCATCTGACCTTCGGCACTCACGTGAAAGGAATATGCCCTGTGCAAGAGAAGATCATTTTTTTAATCCAAATATCAGCAATTTTCTGCTTCTGGGTGGAAAAGCACGTCAACGCCACTATCAAAACGGCTGGCTGTAGCAGAAGAACGAGTAGTTTTTTATTGCGATAGCAATTATATGGACACTCTTCACTGGATTTTGCCGTCGGCATCGCTATCACTCAAAGTATATGTACACTTATCTGTATACAGGAAAACACAAGAAAGAAAAAATCCTGAAAAAGACTCCGACACGCAGAAACGCGGAACCTCAGAGTCGTGAATGCGAGGCGTAAACTACGAAGCCACCGAGCGGCACGTCCTTCAATGTTCAAACAGCAAGCTATTTACATCTAACACTTATTGCTGGTCATGGGCATCTCAGCGAGGAGGGGGGGAAACTATCGCGTTATAAGCATTACCAGCAAGATAGCTCTCATCTCCCATGAGTACTTGGCCCCTCAGAGTGGAGATGTTGGACGCTTGCTGGCGCCCCGTTATCTCGTGGTGGGGGAGCATTGTAGTCTTGGCTGGCGTTGGGCTTTCACTGGAATGTTTCTGTTGTAGTTACCGGACGCACAAAGGTCACTGCAATCGTTGTCAGTCTCCGTTTCCGAAAAGGGCGCACTTTTCAGACAAAGCGAAGTAACAACTGAGACGCTTATTCGCGTTCATCTGTACCTGTGAGTACATTTCGTGCGTCATTTGTGCGTGAGAAACGAGGGGCACGTTTCAATCTGCTTGCCATGCGGCGCGTGACCTTCCAATTTGTTGTTGCTATCGCGTTGTTAGCTTCGCATTTGCGGCAAAGCTGTGACTTTTTATCAAAATGGTGAGTGGGGTTATTTAAGGAAAGATGCAATTTGAAAAAAAAAAAAAAAAAAAAAGTTGTCTTAATCTGTAACCCAGGACAAGGAAATTTTCGCTGTATAAGTAGGCATTTATGCTAATTTCAAATATGTAATTAGTTTTATAGTAAGTCACTTAGCTTTAGATTTATGCCATGACAATGTGTAACGTATAGTTGGTTTTGGACAAAATTTTTATGCCACTAAACATTTATGGTTCTTGGCCATTGATGGCTCATATTGCTCTACATTAACTGTAGTATGCAAATAACTATCAAGAAAGTGCATATAAGACATTTAAATGGCCAAGAAAAATTGTAATGTAAATATGCTTACAATTCTCAGCCAATACTAACTATATTCATTTTAGTTTTGCAATGATTATACAGGCGATACCAAGTTTTCATGAAAATACTTGCACCCTTCACAAGTTAAGGAATATCAAGTTCAAGAATATGTGGGCAAAATTCCATCCTGATCGGGCAATCACAATTTACCAAAAACATGATTTCTAAACTCAAGAAGTTGCCCAAAATGAATATTAAAAAAAAATTTTTTAAGGTTTAGGTGAAAGGTTAACTATGCAGAAAAGATGTGTTTTGAAGGTGTTTTCCTTCTCCACGATAGCTTGGCAAACATGGTTATTTTAAGCATGTGGTTTTAGTGAATTATTCATGCGAAATGCACTGACAAGTATAGCCAGGTGACGATTTTCAGGGGACATTAGGAGAATGCGCTTTTTTTAGTTTTTAGTAAAAGCGATTTTAACATATTTGAAGTTTAGTTGCAATCATCAGTTTTTTTGTCATGAAAGTAGGAAAACTATACTTTCAAAGCAAATAAAAATAAAAAGTATGCAATTTTTGAAAAAAATTTGCGTTTTTCGATTTGAATTTCCCCTCAATAATATCCATTTTCAGAAGACTTCAACAAACAAGAGCACAATTAAAAAAAAGAAAAAGAAATTGAGAGAACAATGAAAGTGCTGTCCAGCCTATCTGGCTCACTCTAGTGTGTGTACACTAAAACAGGAAGACACACCAAAATGTAGAGCTTTGTTTACTGAACTATTGTAAGTGGAGTTTATCAAACGAACATGTAGGCCCGTGTGCTCAGATTTGTGTGCACGTTAAAGAACCTCAGGTGGTCAAAATTTCCTAGCCCTCCACTACGTTGTGTCTCATCATATGATGGTTTTGAAACGTTAAATCCCACATATCATCATCATCATTTATCAAAAGAACATTTGAGTGCATGCAAAGAACTTTCAATCCCTTTTTACAAAGTGTTTAGTCACATTAACAGTTCTAGAAGAACACACTGACATTACCATTACACAAATGTAATCAACTTAATAAAATTCAATCCTGTCATGAAGGTCTCCATTGATAGGTTCACTATTAGAGTACTATATCTTTTCCTGTTCGAGAATATCGGCTACCTACCAATCTGCAAGAAAAAGGTACACTTTAAATTTTCTACACAAAGCTTGTCATGAAAAAGACAAACTGTTCTGAAAACCAGAAATTCTAGGTTTGTAATGCACAATGTACACTGCCAGCTGCACCCAGGTACAGACAAGTAAACTTCTCATTGCACTTGGCTTCTTTTACTAAGTATTTTACTAATAAACTACAATCGGTACATGAAACGTAGTACTTGTGACAAAGAGCTGCATCTTTGTCTTATTTATTACAGTGTTTGCTACAGAAAGAAATTTCCAAGACTCACGGTTTTCCTGCTGGTATGGAGCCGAATCCTCGCATCGATGGATGCGGCTCATAGCCAACCTGCATTGAAGCCATAAACTGGGGTCAGGTTATTAACATATCAGAAAAATAATGGCGACACTGCAACAGACAATGCATGGCCTTCCCAAGTTTTGTGCAAGGCAATAAATACGGAGGCAGCACCTCACTACTGGCACTGAAACACCCACCGAACCTTGTAATTGGTACTCGAATCGTTAGCAGTGACCAATGGCACTCGGCAATGCCAACAGCAGTTGGGGTGGAGCAACTACATAAAAAAAATTGTTAAATTTTTTTCTTGTTTTATTGCCCAAAAATTTTGCTTTCATAGGGTTGCAGCTTTTGGGGTTAAGTTCTGAGCATCACAGCTTAAGAGACATCTCTGCTCCACTATCAAAAGTAAAAAAAAAAAAAACGCCTGTGCAAGAAGACAGAAAAGAAAAACCAAGACAATGGTACACAACAGCATACCCTGCATTAAATCTCCAACATGACCACTTTGGACGAGAATGAACAAACAATATTGATAACTTGATAACTCAATATTGATAACTCAAACTTCTTTTCTACTCTCTCAGTTAATTCAAACAAATTTCTAATATTTGCTGGCCCACTCCGTTTTCATGTTAGAAAACTACTCGATTCAATATGCACAAATAATTTAGTCGATACTTGTTGCTCGTGTCAGCGATGAATATTAGCTGCATTTTTTACTTGTTTGTGGCTGAATTTTTACGTACATAAATTTTTGAAGTAGCCCAATATAACGCCGATTGCCATTAGCAAAAATAAATAAATAAATAAATAAATAAATAAATAAATAAATAAATAAATAATAAGACAGCAGAAATTTACATGATAATCAGACATCTCTGCTTTTTCTGGCATGCTACCCTGTGTGATATTTATGCCAGCACCAGACAATTCAAACGAAATTTTTGGATCTTATTAAATTTGAATTAAAAACTTCACTGTATATGTATATAAAAAAAGAAAGCACGCCAGGCCTGCACGGAACACGCAGCACAATCACAGCGAAAGCTGCAAGAGCGCCTCTCAAAGCCTTTTCTAAACACTCTTAGGGTGACTGTTACACGCACACTTGATGGATACCCACTATGTTATAAATAATCATAATTTTTGTGTAGTAGGCCAGCATTCCCTGTGCTATCCTTCGTCATTCCTTGGAGAAGCGTGGTGCCCGCTGAACACTTGCCAGGAATTTTGTGCAGTTTTTTTATGCAATGGCTGATGACGAGTAAGAATTATGCCAGACGTAGGTATGCGTCACAGTTAATAGGGGAACAAGAACAAGCTTTTGTAATGGGTCGCATCATTGGACAACCCACTCTTTACGCAATTCGCAATGTGTCGTGCCTGGTTGTTCCTTTCATGTTCTAAAATGCTTAATTACTTATAATAACGCAATTCCTTTCCTGACCTCAAGCCCGCCTAAGGAAAGTTTTGAGACGTGTTTTGAGCACCGGCGTGGGTCAGTAATAGAATACTAGGCTGGCACGCAGCAGGCCGAGGTTCGAATACCATTGTGTCCTTGGCGTTTTTTATTTACCAAGTTTTTGTCTTCTTATTTCCTGCAATAGTGGTTACAGGGTGCGGTGGGGGACAACTACAGCACCACGCGTGACCCGTGTTCTGATCTCATACAGCTTTCGCTGTAAATTAAACAAGCATGTGCTCATACAAAACTGCAAGGCTACATAAAATAAATGAAAAGAGGGTAACAAGAGTCTCTGCAAAAATAATTAAAGATGAATGTCAAAGTAAGCAAATAGCTCATGTAGACTGAAGTTAAATGCAGGCTCTATCAATTTACTTTCAACATCTGCCCCTAACATAAACTTCGCAGTTGGCCCAAACTACTGATAACGCCAAGTTTTGGAAGATGTCATGATAGTGCAAGGGTGATTAAGATAACAAGCACAATGATGACCCTAGCACGGTAACATTAGTGAGATGACAGCTACAAGTTTGCATTGAATTTTTTTCTTATTTATTCTATGTGGCTCAGATAGTCCTTCAACCATAAAACTTAAAGCGACACTACAGAGACAGAGGAAGTTGATCGTTAATGGTTTGCTATCCTGTTGTGAACACAGTTGTACCATTCTTCTTGAGAGCAGAGTTTTAATAAATGAGCAAACGGTGATCTGATAAATTGGCATTGACACCTCCTGAAATTTCTTTCTGGATAACAAATCGAGATAGAAAAAAAAAGCCTAGCTTCGATGGCCGAAGCACAGGAGCGAATTGGCCATGAGACTAAAAGAATTGTCCCGCTGATGCAATAGTTAGTGGTGTTCTCCAACAGTGAGATCATTGATTGTAAGGCTTATTATAACATCAGTCTGGAATGCGAGTTCATTGGTGCAGGCAAGTGTGTATGTGCATTTTAGGTGGAAAATACCGCTGTCTTTCCAAGTTGTACCTAATATAGATGAGACGTCGACCACAAATAAAGTATGGCCTTAATCGGACCAGAGCTGTTCATCGTATTAAACCTATCCCTGCAGGGTCTTTTTTTTGGTGCTGCTTCCCACTCCCTGCCTGTGTGTGTTTTTCATGTTATGCGGATTGTTGTGTAAACAATGCAATAGGACGTTCTTCAGGGCATGTACAACATTTACTGGGGATTCCCTCACCAAATAAAAAGTATTACTTCAAAACTTACGCTTACTAAAAAGCTACAAGCAATTACATAATCAACAAAATCACGTAACTTGCCATTAATAATGCAGACTGTCTGAGCCACCAATTATCCATTTCATTTAGAGTCAGAATCCACACAAAGAGCTCTGAATTTTTTTATCTGTCAAATAGCGTGCACACGCAGCATGCTAAATCGTCATGGCTGCACTACTGAGAGCACTGGGAAAGAGACATCAACTAATGCTGATGTGAATAAGTAATTAAGGTTAACCACACGAAAATAATATACGGCGGACAGGAAAAACCTGGAACAAGCATCTTTTTCCTGTCCACCATGTGTTATTTTCGTGCTATTAACCTTAAGTATGCACAACCAACTAAACTAGCCTAGTCAGCCACAGTGATGTGAAAGCATTAATATCTGTCTATGTGTTCTCTGTATTTATGGTGGGACACACCCACATTATCTTTTTCTTTTTGGAAGAGTTGTTTTGCAAGTGATAGTAACTTTAAGTGGCCAGTATAGAACTCAGAGGTTCAAAAATTGTTACGAAGAGAAATATGCTCACTTTTGCTATGTGAACATGCTTCCGCAAGAATATTGTGAATATGTGCTATAAAAAGAAAGTTACAAGGCTTATGTTGAATTCCAGTGGCACAGTTGCAGCAGCTGATGAACTCTGTGAGCCAGCACTCGACTCTGGCATAAAACAATACATCCGAAACAACGATTTAAACACAGTCCGTGCCCACTGGAGCAAGCACGGAAGCAAGGAAGGAGCGGAACTTCTCGAGTTGCCCAGAATACCTTGGTGTATTTATTCCATTCTACTAATTCCGCTGTTGAATTTTGTTGAAATAGCACTCATAAGTAGTAGCTTCTGTGTCAGTGACACGATCGATGAACTGCTTGTGCAGGAACTGAAGCTTTCCAACTCTGAGCAGTCGCAAAACACGCGACAGCAGCGGCGCCACCAAGCGGGTGAACGTGTCAAAGGGAGCGCATCACGCGGAGTTGCAGTCAACTTCGCCAATTTCGGCGGAGCAACTTTTCCTGCTCCTCGGAGTCACTCCCACTCTGAATCCACTCAGACTCTCTCATTGGAATACACTTGTCGTAAAAGGAGCAGAAAATTGTGCACAAACTCAGCTATTGTAATTCAGCATTAGATATTTCAGCTAGTTTGAAATTTTCGTGTGGCCTCGCCCCACTTCTCTACCGTAGGGAGAAGGAAGGCATAGCCAGTCATCATGACTCCGCCCACTTTAGCAGTGTCCCACTTCACAGAGCTGACGTCTCCTCATGACTGGCTCTTCTGCAGCTTATGCTGGGTGGATGCCAGTTATTGTCGAGTGCCTATAGTTAGCCTTAAAGCTCTGTGGAGCTGCCTGTCGCAAGTGGAACACAACCCGTTCAATCCTGGTATTGTGGTGTCGCGCTCTGCTTCCTTCATTTTATCTTGAGATGCATGAACTAAGAAAAGCGACCCTCGTTTGTTCGAACTGGGTGTCTCAGTCGCTGCCAATGTCTTTGCAAATCGTACTGAACATTTCGCCACGTGGGTGATGCACCTGCAGCTCTCTTTTCTCTGTCCTACTGCACCATTTTGTCAAGAGTGTTTTGAGTGTACGGAGTGGGAATGATGTAATCCACGGATGGCTGTCTTCTGCACAGTCTTTGCTGCTGGTGAGGAAGGCGGTCGAGACATCTCGGGTGATAGATATGCTTTCGACCTGCACAGCTGCCTTCAAACTGGTGACCTTGCGAGTGCTGCTCACAACCAGAAGGCTTGTTGGTGCGAGCAACACCTTTTCGCACCAATGATCACATTGTGGGTTCGGGACTAAGGTTAAGTTGTTGAGCCAGTAAGGCAGTGTTGACCAGTGTCAGTGTCGCGGTGTGCGGACATTTTTTTAGACATATATGCCCATGTGTTGCCTTGTTTCCTAGAGCTTGTGTAGCTTTCTTTCCGTTTTTTTTTTTTTTTTGGGGGGGGGGGGGGGGGGGGTTATCTATCGAAGGGGCTTTGCAACACTTTTTCAAGTAGCCATGGAACCGATTCACTAAAGGAGCTGCCTCACGAATTCAGCGCCGCAACAATTTTTATTTTCGAATCCATCCGGTACAAGTAGAGTTACAAACATCTGTCGCACGCTGCAATTGTATTCTCTCTTCTCTCATCCCGACAAAAGCACTGAAAGCTAAGCAGAGAAGGATGGCACAGGGAAAGAAAATAATTTAATATATCATGACCTTGAGAACTTTTTCTATTTGAATAGGCAGATTTTTCACTGCAATCACACGCACACGAGTGGCACCCTTTTGCAGCGGTTTCTATAACGACTGAGCGCACCATGCTCAATTCAGCCAATGGATGATACAACAGCGATTTGACATTATGTTATGTTGGGCTAGTTGGTACATATTAGGCTGAAATATGTGGCGCAAGGATTCCAACTTCATGCAGTTTTTTCAACACCAGTGTTGTGCAGGAAAATGCCCTTACCAGTCCTCTGGAGTACGAGTTGAGCCCTGGTGCAATACTGTTATGCAGAACACCTTGTGGATAGGCTGCCGCACTGAGATCAGCTGGCATACCATGAGCGCCAGGTCCTCCACCGTGCAGAGGATACGGGTACGGAGGTCCTGCAAGGAAACAACTGCCATCACTATTGCTCAACTTTTGCTTTTCTCAAGAAAAAGGCTTCTCTTAGAATGAAGGCCCACATATGCAAACTCACTAAGTAGGGCAATTGGAAAAAAGTACTGGTATCACGATGACCAGTGTGCGAACACACAAGATGAAAAAGGGAGCAGTTGTGCTTGTCTCCGTTTATTAGACACTTTTCTCTTGTGTCTCATCTGTCTAACGTACAGAAGCGAATGTAAGACTATTGCATGATATGCACGTCAACACAGGCATTTCGTGATCCTGAAGGCCTTATATTACATGCACAGTAGAACTTATAAAAGCTTAAGATGAGAGAAAGGCACCCCGAACTTGTGGAGATAAAGCCAGTTTGCATGGCATACAGATGACCAAAGATAAATACCTAACTTTATTAACGAAAAGTGTGATAAAGGCAAGTGTCCATTGCAAGAAAGTAAAATAATTAAAATGTACCAATCAATATTTAACATATATCGCGAGTTCAAGGATTTAATGTGACAGAACAATGATATGATTACGAAGCATGCCATAGTGGGGCCCACGGATGAATTCAGTCAGGGCTGTAATCATGCACCTAAACATATGCAGTACATGGGTGTTCAGATTTCAATAGTCAAAATGTGAGGATCCAATGACTTTCATGTTGGTTGAGTAAAAGCTCGCGGCAGGACAGCCTATGAAGCCAACGTGGACAATTGTGCATATCATGACAACTAATCCTTTTCAAAAATGACATGTCAAACATGCATTATCATACTAGTGTGCCATTTAAGTGGTTGCTCTGGGTGTGACGAACATAGCAAAGAAGCTGCTGCTTTGCTATGATGAACATAGCAAAAGCTCCCTGAAGACCCAGACATCCACTGATTGTAAAGTTAAATAGAGAACCAGGTATGTGCAATGTTCCCAGGGAGTTGTCTATAGGATCCCCTTTTCCTGTGGTGCACGTTATGTCGGACAGACTGGAAGGTGTCTGAACGATCGGCTGAAGGAAAATGCTAACAATGTCATCAATGGGAAAGATGATTTTCTTGCACAGCACTGCACTGCGTGCAACTGTGTGCCCCTTTTCGAGGACACAGTGACGCTGTATAAGCATGAAGATGATCACACCCAAGTAAGCGTTAAGGCTGCGCAGATAGCATGCCAACAGGACTCGTGCATTAGCAAGCCTTCAGTGTCTCTGTCCGAGAAGAAATTGGGGTTCCTCGAAAGTGTCAACGCGCACAACTAGTCATAGTTCTTTCAGTTTTCTGTATCCTTTCCTTAGATTTCTTCTTGGTTTTTTTGTCTTTTTTGCCTTACTCATCTTTGCATCGCTCATTTTTGTCCCATGACTTTTTTGTCCCATGGTATACTGTCACCTTTATATGTTTTCGTGCTCTGCACAATAAACTGAGTTGGAAGTTAGCGCTCGTCTTCTTGTGCTTTTGTCGTCGTTCTGAGCTCGCGCTATCACAATCGTGTGCGGAAGGCTAGAACCTACAATAAAACGCTTTCCTTGAACAACTCCCGAAGAAAATTTCGTTGCTGTCAGCTCCTCTGATCGCGCACTTCCACAGAGGAATAGCACAGAGCTCAGTGCTCGAGAGTTAGCACAACAATTTCTCATCAAGATTGCATTTTATGCTGAACATCAATGATCATTCAATAGAGCAAATAGCATCTTTTCCTGACTACTTTGCCAAGAAGAAAGAAGACAGTCGTACAAGTAATCGACGAGCTTCGGTGAATGGTGCACACAAAAGCATGCAACCTTGGTGAAAAACTAAATGTAGCATAATAACATGGTGGCCCTCAGGCGTGTCCTAGTGGACTTTGTATGAGAGAACCACAGGTATATGGATGATCCGTACCAAGGGCAGCAGCCTTGGCACCTTTATGAGAGGAAGATGGTGCAGCTCCGGTAGGCGTGGCTGCCTTGGGAGTTGGCGTGCCCCCTCCCTTGTCCCCAGCCCCTTCCTTGTGCTTGGAGGAGGATGGCGTGCTCGAGTTGGAGGAGACGCTCGAATGGGGAGATCCATGAGGTTCCTTCTTGAGGCCCTTGTCAGTGCCATTCTCTCGTGGTGACAGGGCCCCGTTAGGCGCACCCACAGAGTCCTGCCATGACATCCACACAACACTTGTCAAAATACATCATCAGCCCTACGGCCTATTTTTCAAGACACAGTCCAAGAGATGAAGGACTCTAACATCTTCCTAAGGGTTCAAAAATCATTTCACTTGTGACCGCCACCTCATGTTCTTTGGCACGATGTTCTGCTATGACACAGTGATAAAGAAGACTTGAGGACATTCCTATTTATTTTTTACGTAGGCTTGCAGCTACTTCATAAACAGCTATGATAAATTGCCACTAAGGTCTTAGCAATTACACAGATGCTCGTCATTATACGATACATGCACGCATGTATAATTAAATTAAGGGACACATTGTGCTATATCCTGTGACAGTTCGTGGCACCTTATCAGCCTTAGTATGCTTTATCATAATAAGTTCAGTGGTACATCACGAAATTCTGTAGGCTTGCTTGTATTAAAATTCTCAGCCACTAAGAATTTTAATACAAGCAAGCCTACAGATACATTACTCTCAACCAGTTTGCTATGTGTATGCGACATGGTGGAACCATGACATGCTGGGACTGTGCGACAACTTTGGCTGCTAGGGGATTTTTGAGCACACAGCTAAATTTAAGTGCACAGACGCTTCTTTCTATTTTTTCCTCATAAAAGCCAGGAAATGAGCTTGTGTCCATGAGCTTAGCGTATCACCTTATAACTGCTAAATCACCACAGCAGGTGCCATGTACTGTCAGCCGTGGAAGTTTCCAAGCTCTGCAGCCTGTGGCCGGGGATAAAAAGCTGCTTTAATACTTCACCTACTATCGCACGGTTTGGTGAAGATACCTCTCTGAGCACACACTGCTTGGCTGATTGAGGATAGCGAGGTTGTGACAGTGACCAAGCACTTAACATGCAATATTATATGCCCTGCAAAGTGACACTGTCACCTAAAGTGATCATCTTGGAACAGGGGCCCGGATCTCCACTCCACCATCCATTTGAAGCTCGGACAGGTACAAGATAAATTTTGTCTCTTGCTCCAGTGGAAAGCAGCCAATTTGCAGTGAAAATCAATGCTACCATTCAACCACATGCTTACACATTTTTTTACTGAAGGAGACTGTGCACTTTTGACTAGGCAAGTACTAGAATTCCGTCTTGATCATAAACTAATACATGGTAACAAACAGCAAACATTGCAAAGTACAACACATTTCATAATGTTTACCATAAACAGGATCACAAACATGACCTAAAGGCCATCTCTGGATGTAATTTTGTTCAACCGAGACTGGAAGTGCTTACAATGAAACCTCGATTATGCGACTTTCAGGGGACCAAGCAAAACCGTCGTGTAATCCGGGCATCGTATAATCAAAGAACTAAGAATATAAGCAGTGATGGTCATTGCCGTCCCACAACAGTCGGTACATAATGCCTGAGCAAGTCCGCAACGCAATACTGCGCAACTCCGAGGAATGTAGATTAAACTACGTGAAAAAATGACAATCACGCATTTTATCGAAGGTGTGAACAACCCTTTATTCTCGCCTCTTGAAAAAATATAATTTTTTTTTCTGCGAGTTGGCCCAGCTACGACGCATCAGCTTGCTTTCGAGAGCTGCAACATCTGGCAGCAAGTCGCTGATCTCGTCGTGTGCGCAGGCGAACCACCGAATGCTGCCGACGTAATGCAACATGTCTGTGTAAGTCGGTAAGGAAGCACTTGCCTCTGCAGTATCGTTCATCTCTTCCTCATCAGAAATTTCTGCAGAGTCAGCCCGCACAGTTTAAATAATGTCATCCAGTGACACTGCACTGCACACAGCGACATTGTCATCAGCACCAACATAGTCCGTAAAAGATCCAGGCAGCTACAAGCGCCCGAACTCTAGTTCGTCAACATCAAGCACTGCAGATTCGCTGGAACAGGTGCCACTTCTCTTAACACCGCAGTACCTGAAGGAGTTGGCGATAGTTTCTTGCGTGACCGCGTCCCATGCACTAGCGATGTAGTGCATTGCATCAAGCACTAAGAGCTTCGTGTCCATCTGCTTGAGTTCCATGCACGCTAGCCGATGCTGCACCAGAAACTTCTTGTATTTCTGCTTCGTGCACTTGACGACGCCGGCGTCAAGTGGCTGCAGCTAGCTAGTGCAGCTTGGGGGCAGAAATTCATCTTTTATATTCTTCAAATGCGATGTATCAGTTGAATGGCACGGCACATTGTCAAGCAGAGGAATAATTTTTTTTGTCTTCAGCCCCCTTTTCGAGTCCAGCTGCTGCAGATATGCGGCGAACTTAGCAGCAGTTATCCAAGCTTTGCGATTAAACAGTACTGGCACGGCAGCCTTTTCAAATTTTCGAAGCATCACGGCCTCTCAAACTTGCCTGCCCTGCCATGGTGGTCTAGTAGCTAAGGTACTCGGCTGCTGACCCGCATGTCGCGATTTCGAATCCCGGCTGTGGCGGCTGCATTTCTGATGGAGGCGGAAATGTAAACCCGTGTGCTCTGATATGGGTGCACGTTAAAGAACCCCAGGTGATCGAAATTTCCGGAGCCCTCCACTATGGCGTCTCTCATAATCATATGGTGGTTTTGGGACGTTACACCTCACACAACAAACCAAACCAACCTCAAACTTGCCGATCATAAGGGCAGGAAGCTTTTCCGAGCCGTCTTTATTAGCAACTTTCTCCTTTGAACGTCAATGTCAGGTCTGGCTGCATGTTTTAAATTTAAAGTAACCCAGTTTCGTCCGCGTTGAATATGTTGTAGGGCTTGTACTGCCGTATCAGCTCCGGCAGCAGCGCGGTCAATTGCTCAACAGTGAAGGAGCTGACAGACGAGCTCTCTCGGCAGCAGCGGCTGTAGACAACTCCATTTCGTTTTTTAAAGCGATCTAACCAGCTGTTGGAGGTTTTAAAGTCATCAATGCCGCAGCGCAAGGCAATAATGTCCGCCTTCTCCGTCGCAATTGCACCATCCCCGGCAATACCTGCACTGTGTGCCTGACACAACCACTCTATGAGGGCCTTCTCCATAGCAGCATATTTACCATCCCTTGCGGCCTGCCTGTTTAGGCCGAACTGACGCATTCAGCAGGATGCTGTCCTTTGCAAGGATCATTGCTGTCCTTCGCAGGGTGCTGTCTTTTGCAGGATGCTGTCCTTCGAGAGGGAATGTTCAGGTCACGGGCAATGCTGGCCTTTGTTACTCCGGTCCGCTTCTCCGCCTCCTCAATTATGCGAAGCTTTTCTCTGAGCATCAGCGGTTTTCGGTTCCGCGACATCGCGAGACGCAGCCGTCCCAACCAAGAGTACACACACCGATGTCAGAAGGCAAAAATGTGGCACGTGGATACTGCAGCTGCGGCGCACAATCTATCAACGAGGCACACAGGTGAAGGAACAGCCTAATGGCAGTGGGCCCATTCAATTTTTGCAAGCGCACACCTCAGCACAAGCTTTCATAAATCGCGTGTGTTTAAAATGCCCCAGACCTCTATACTCTCTTTCACCACTGTGGTTCAGCACTACCAAAGCTGCAAGGTGTAAGAAAGCCACACGCTTGAGTAGTGAAACGTAGGCCCTCATGTACGTGCGTTAAAATTTATCGGCGGCATCAGTGTCCTCTCTAAGAGCATCGCGGTGCCAAGCAGCGAGCAAGACGAGCCTCCCCACTCATCCTACGGCAAAACCAAAGACGGATGTTTCAAGAACAGCCAGTGCGGTTGACTGGAATCGGCCTTTCTTTTGTGTGTTACGCCACATCGATACATGGTATGTTTATTCTTCTTCCCATTTATTTCGTACATATTTAAGTATTTGTGTCAGTTACCTCTGATAACTGTATCTAAAAATCGACATGCCAGCACCCATGCAAAAGGGATCGCCCGGTTTGATTCGGACTTCGTCTTGCTACACACTCACTGCATCAACAGCAGTAAACAAATGGCGAAATCATCTATCGATTTGTTTCATCTCACCCTGGGAATAAAGCATCATGTACGTTTTGTCATTTTTAGGGAGATAAGCTGCTTGCTTCACCTGCTAAGCCTAACACACCGTGGCACCGAGGCAGCCTTCGAGCTGCATCGCCAGACCAAGAACGCCGCATCTCCAAATATCAGACATGCAACCTCACTCGGGGTTCCTTGCGCTACGAATGGAAGTGCGCAGTGCAGTGCCACAAAACGAATGCACTCCAGCTGGCTCTGGCTGATGTTGGCTTTGATTAGCTCGCCTAGGCCAACCGCGTTGCATATCAAAAAACTGAAGCAGCTACGTGAATGCAGTATGGCAAGAGTAGTGTGCAAAGAAATGACCTCGGTTTTTTTACTTTTTCAATCCAGCCGCGCTGACGGAGTGTGCACTGCGTGTCAGCCTGCATAGTCGTCTCGCTTTTTTTTTAAATCGGTCAGTCCAGGGAAGCGTCGTACGAGGAGGAGTTGGCGTAAAATTGTGTCATACAATTGAGGTTTTTAATACATGGCTTCTACGAAAATTTTGTTGGGACTAAGCCGATTTGTCGTAAAACACAGGTTGTCGCAGGACCGGGGGACGTATATTCGAAGTTCCACTATATTTATACCAAGCACAGTAGAGCAAACAGGATGCTCACCTCATTGGCGACGTCAACCACCAGCTCTTGGTCACTCTTCTCCCCGTCACTGTCCTGTAAGGAGACCACCTTGGCATTGAATACTACAATCCTAGAGTCGCCAGCATAAATTACTGAAAGTATACTAAGGAGAAAAATGATTTTTCTTGTATTAGTAAATTACTGTTTCAGGATGATACCAAGAACACCATTCTTCCTAGGGGAAGACTCTTTATAAGCAAGCGAATGCACAAAAAAAAATGCGGGTGGCATCACCACCTTGAAGTTTCAACACCAGCCGCCATGACATCATAGATTCTGACGACGTCTACTAGGGCCTAGGCAGTTCCTAATCCATGAAAATGAAGTACAGTGTCTTCTGAAGGAGAAGTGTGCATATGTTGTGTCAACACGACAATGTAACATATAGCTAAACAGTATGGGTTTTGTTCGACTCTAACTTGAAAGTTCAAGCAAAGCAGTCTGCTGCATCTTAACTGGTGTGATCAAGCCATTGTGCCAACAAAAGAAATTTCAGGAAATTTTGTTTAGCCAATGTGGCCAAAATTAAAAAAAAAAAACATTGAAATCTGTGCAACCACTATAGAAAACTTCAGCGGGAAACTTAAGAAAAACTTTTTACATTGACTTTCTAGCATATCCATTCACCAATGATGGTGAAATTGATGACACGAAGTTTTAATGGTGTAATTTATTAATTCACTTCAGGGTGCCTTCAAATGCTTTCTTCAAGCACAATGCTACACCAAAAACCACATTTCCAGTGGACATTAAAATTAGAAGCTTGTGCAGCTGAACCCTTTTATAAAGAGACACACACTGGGGAGCGTCCCGTAAGCAGCATGGCCACTGCCTTGTTTCCTTGGAAGTTGGCTTGGTCACACCAGCAAAAGTGCACTCGGCTTGCTTTGCTTTAAATTGTTGAAGTAGCACAAACGCAAAAATTGTGCATCTTGTATTTTCTGTTGCAATAAGTCAGTAACAATCCACTTATCACGGCTGGAAAGCTCGTTTGCTTGAATCATTTGGGAAGGGTTTTTCACTGCCCAGTTGCACTTTTAGTTTCAGAGGGCGTCGGGTGAGACGGGACCTGGAGCGGTTGTCGTGTAAACATAGCTGGCTACATGCACACAAAAAAATGCATGCACTGGATCACCGTGTCGACAGCACTGCTCAGGCAAGGACATGCTTACTTTATCCTCTTTCTTGCGCTTCTTGAGGTCATGGTCGATGTCCGGAGAGCGGCCACGGAATTTTTCTCTCTCACCAGGTGAAATAGAGTTTCTCTAATAGGTCAAAAAGAAAAGCAGTGATTAGGCACCCCTTCAAGAATTCCAGCATGTGACAGAAATGTACACAATTACATAGTCTAATGTAGATGATTGAAACACAAATGGCCTTCTAAATTTACCTCTCTTTCCTCTCTCATCTTCATACCTTTTTGACAAGTGAGGCTTAATGCTTGTAAGATGACAGTGATACTAGAGGCATACTTTAAACAACTTTATAATAAGTGAAATGAAGCCTTGACCACCTGGATCTTAACGTTAAACGGTTACTACTATTCACAAATATTTCTGCATAAATTTACAAATTTCAGAACCTCAATTGTGCCTGAACAGACATAAAACCCGAGTCAAATTATGCTGAATGCCATGCATGTACCCAAAGCACAGGCCGAAAACTTGAGAACGGATGTAATTTATCAGACCATGCTTGTCAACGGGGGGAAGGGGGGGTGATACTTTACTGTAATGACAATACATGCATGAAAGTTTAAATTCCCCAATTCCCTGAAAATTCCTGAGCATACAAATAAACTGTTGATTTCTTCCGAATGCTCCATTTGTGCTCTTAATAAGCAGCATAAGCAGAAATTCATAAAAGGCATTGCAATGGCAAGGACAGGCTGAAATTATTATACTAATTAAGACATGACAGTATTCTTGTATCGTAAAAACGGCTCTTCCATATTCAATTGATTGATTGATTTGTGGGGTTTAACGTCCCAAAACCATCATATGATTATGAGAGACGCCGTTGTGGAGGCTCTTCCATATTCAAATATTTCTCGAAAATTCGACATCCTATGCAATCTGTAACTGTGAGTTTGCACTTTCAGAACATGACTAAAGCTGCAGCATGATTGGATCAGTAATAATGCACCATGGCTTTTCAAGAAGTTGTGAAGGCGTCCCTTGTAATTGATGCCTTTGGTAATGCATGTAATTGCCATAGAGCCACGTGAAAGAACCAGGTCAGTCTCATGAACACCTGCTTGGGCAGCCTGAGGAATGCGCTATATTGAAACGAGAATTAAAAGAGGATGGCTCAAGTCAATACCATAGTAAGGCAGGTATGTAGACTCAAAACACCCTTTGTACCACCATCCACATTTACACTATGTGAAAAATGGACCAAAATTTGTGTACTGTAACTTATGCTGTGTTTGGCAGTTGGTTTACAAGATAGCTATACACTGCTACAACCTAGGAAATAAGAGCTGTGGGGTGGGTGTGTATCCTTTTTTTTTTTTGTAGCTTTTACTCTTGCTCCCTTGATCCCCAAAGGAGCAGCCCCAATGAGAAACCAAGGAACGATTCTGACAATAGGTATCTTAACTGGTAAAAAAAAATGCGTGCTTTTTTCATACACCAGGCATTTCTCTCATGAATTCTATTCAGACACCCCTATTTGAAATCCCCCTAACCTCTTTCTCCTCAACTCATCTCAACTGGCGGTGAAAGTAGTGTAGCGTCTATATTTTTGTGTGTACCAGCGAATTATGCACGAAAGTGTGCTTTCCTTTTTCTTAAAAAAGATTAAGATAAATAATAAAACTGGATTCCCGCTACCATCCCAGCACCTCTCGACCTATTATGCTGTCATTGGCAACAAGCAAGCACAGACGCGCGGGGTGGGTGGCTTTCAGACGAGAAACGTGAGCCCGACCGGCGGGTTCGCGGCAGTGGGGCGAAGTGCTTCCACCGTTGCCTTCATTCACGTCCCTCTCGAACGCCAAACAAGCCAACCAAAACCGCGACTCGTTACGTGCGGCCCTCTTCCCCGAGCCCACCACCGCGGGAAGGAGAAAAACAGACCGACGGCGGCAGAGAGCCCCCACACCACCGCCGCCCCTTTGTCGCGGGGAGACAACTGGAGGAAAGAAAAGAACCAAGAAGCGCGCATACCCCCCCACCGCTTTCAAAACGCCCTCGAGCGAGCCCCGAGACGCAAAGCAATAAAGTGGGCGCCCCTCGACCAGTCCCGCCGCTCGGCGAACGCCGACCGGCACTCGTATTGCACCGCAAATTGCCACGCGGTGGCATGCAACTTCCCCCCCTCCGCCATCTTTAGGTATTTTTTCGCAGAAAGCGCACAATGGACCTGCTTCGGGAGGGGGAACTCCGTAGCGGGAAATCGCTCCGGCAGGCGCAGCAGCAATCCGTCAGCAACAAAGGCGCCTTTACAATCGACCAGCGGTTCTCCCTTCCCGAGGGGACGGGAGTCTTCGAGACGAAAGAGAGCGCTGGCGGGCGGCACAATACGCTCTGTGCACGCACTTGTAGCAGCGCACCGTGCACGCGTCCTAAACACGCATCGGTCCCCCTCCGCGCTGGTAGCGCGGGAAGTGCAACCACGGCTGGGCCGGAAGCTAGAGGCTCCGTGGCAGCGAATCAGAGGGAAGTCAATCATATCAGATGCCTGCCTACACGATGCGACGCCTTCGATATCACGTTGTCCGATGCTCTGAGAATATGTGGTTAGGAACAACTTATCCGCCCACGAGCAGAGCGAACCGATAATTCTCGCGCAATCTTTATGCGATAGCGAGCTACAAAGCGGTGCGAAACGCTCATACGCGAACTGAACTGGACACAATGCATGCGATAAGCACTACGCGTTCGGACCTATTTATCCGGGGCACTCGCGACCGTAACTAGGAATGTGTGAGCGATAATGGTCGCTTGTATTCATTGTTGTAGCGTAGCCTAATTATGGCCTCAGCCCACGAAACTAAATGACGAAAATACGCTTTCTCTCTCTCTCTCTCAAATAGTCAAAGCCCGCACCAGTACGTGCCATCACCCTAACAGGCATTCACCTGATGTGCGCTGACCCAAAATTGAAAAAGCGTTACGAGCATGCTCCCGCATTTATGTGTGGTGAAGTCATGATACATGATGCAAAAGTGGCGAAACTTACATGTCGCTCTTCACTGCTGTGAACTGCACCGGTCAAGACAGCCAGGGCCAAGCGTATTTAGTGCCGCGAAGAGGGAGGAGGGTAAGAGGGAGGAGGGGAAAAAAAGAAAGGTCAATGTGATTAAACCCCCACAATGGAAATGACGCAGCACAGAGAGTGCGAGACGCATCGATTGCGTGCAGTGGGACGAAAAAAAAAATTGATCAGCCAATGAATGATATCGTAGAAAGAAAAAAAGCGCAGCCTGCCCTGGTGGCGCAAGGCTGAAGCGGCTGAAACCAACAGCGGAGCAAGTTTTTTCAAGCTTTTGCTAGTGCACTACGTACAGTCAAGCTTCATTATATAATTCTCCTGTTTCGGTCGATTCCCAAAATGCGCACGTATAACGTTGTTTTAGAGGCAACAACTTGCCTGACTAGTTGTTACGCAATGATAAGTATATTTGTCGAGTAAATACCGTAAAATCCCGAGCAAGGGCCCCCACTTCTGTTTTCGAGAGATTCGCAATACGCGCCATTGACTAAGTGAGCGCCCCCCTCCCGCCATTCGAATCATACCAGTTGCGAAACTGCGTTCCGAACTCCGAACACGCAGTTAACCCAAGGAGGATTAAAAAAAATAATTGCTGGAGTGGAAGCTCCCGCAGTGCCTTGCCAGCAAAAGTGAAGCCATTTTTCGCCACTGCCAAGATGGCGAAAACATGTTCTTTTCTGATAGTGCCCACTTAGAGATCAAGTGGCTTTGATATGTTACTGCTAATTCTACGCTAGTTCTATATTAAAAGCCAGTTGTTCCCGACGAGATAACACACAAAAGCGAGTATGGGTGACTGAATTTCCCAAATACTTTGCCTCCAATCGGAGGCTTACTAAGGAAAACTGGTAACACTAAGACGCACTTGGAGCACTATGTGACCCCCAAAAGTTTCCACATTACACTCATTGGGCGTGAGAGGGAAACGCTCCGTTCACAATCGCTGAACGGTGATACTTTATCATGCCCCTAGTAAGATGGCCGCCGCAGCCGCCATTTTGCCAGAGGCACGGACTCACTCCTAGGCTACGATTTCCATTCCAGCAATTTTTTTTTTTTTAATCCTCTTTGAGTTAACCTGATTTTTGTGGAGTTAGCTGACTGTCGCGCCACCAGGGAACAACAACACAAAACACCATGCGTTTAATAGTGGGCATGCTGATCTAACACGTGGCGTGACAATCTGCTCACTCCCGGGGGAAAAAAGGAGGGGGAGGGGGCAATGACGTGACCAGATTTCAATACATGGAGCCTATAGGGAGTTTTGCAACTCGTATGACAGTGATTTTCACCGTTTTAGCACAACCTCCGAGATGGCGGGTGCGCGGTGCCGCCATCTCGGAGGGCAAGGTGTCAGTCACTACTTGGGAAACAATGAATACATGGGTACTCAATAAAACATTTTATCAGAACTATGGGTGTGCATTTTCTTTTATTCTTATTGCCCATTTAGTGCCTCTTTTTATCGGCCATCTTGAATTTTACTGCATGACAAGCAAGAACAACTACCCCCCCCACCCCCTATAAATCCTGACGAATTATCTTTCACCGAAGGGAGGGCGCTTGCTCGGGGTTTTACGGTAGACGTTACATGATGTCACGCGATTTTAGTCACGTGACTGGCTACTACGGCGGGAGCATGCCGCGTGACGAGATACTGAGCCACGTACCTATAGTTACGTCGTCATGCCGAGAAGCAGCGACGTGACCTAAATTACGGGATTTTAGCCACGAGACTCTTAGATGTAACGAGATTCTGGCGAGAACGAATCACGTGACTAGCTTTGCGTGATTTAGTCACGCGACCAGTTTTCACGCGATATTGCCCGACTTCAGCCCCATGGCTACCTACATAATTTTAGCCACGTGATTTACTGCTAGTACGTCGTTGCGTGAATTATTCGCGTGTCTAAGATGTTAAGCGATTGTCAGTCGCGCGACTACATGTTACCTGATGCAGTCGCGAAAGATATTCGCCTGTCATAGTTACAGCAATTGAGTGGCTTTATAAAATAGTATGAAAATTTAGAATAATGGAGGTTATTCAGGGTACCTCAGAAATCTTAAGCCAGAGTTTAAAAATATGTCGGCACATGCAATAACGACGCGACCAAATGTATGTTGCTGACTGTTGCCTGGAGTGAGTCAGACTATACTTTCTGTTGCGATTAATTGTTTAATTGGCCCCGTTTAATGAACTAACTCTTGAAGGAACGAAGAGCGGTCAAAATGCCAATGAGAAAGTTGTTCATCGGTTTGCAATAAAACGTTCGATTAAACAGCTTCGAACTTTTTTATCTGTTATTTATTACTGTTTTTCTGCGAAATACAGATGTCCGAAAAATACAAAAAAAAGTACCAATTGACAAACCCACTGGCCCGCCTATGCGCGCCCCGATTCCGCTGCTGCTCAACCTACCGCGTACGATCGATACGCTTCCTTTGCACCTGTTCATGACAGCGATAAGCAGTCACAGCGGTTATCGCTTCTGTGGCCGATAGCAAAACGTGTTGATGGGGAAGCCACCACCATCGTCGCAGCCCTATCGAGACGGCACAATCGGACAAATGCTATGGTCTTTCGTACGCGGAACGTTAGTGAGCACTAGCACGCGAGTGGGCTTGTCACGTGGTATATTTTTGTATTTCGCGGACATCTGTAGCTGCAAAAACATTCAAAATTAACAGATATATAAAGCCTGACACTGTCTGATCAAACTTTTTGCAAACCAACTTTTTCATTAAAATTCCTGGCCCCTGTTCGTTCTGTTGAAAGTTCTACATGTATGTATATACTTAAGAAAAAGCTTTCTCTTAATCAGAGCCAATAAAACACAGCAATAATACCCTTATTTTGTGGGTGCGAAGCAGAAGATGAAGACGACGAAGCGAGCACGTGCCGGTTCATTTCTGTTCACACAATTAATGTTACATTAAAAATATTCATCTCAAAATTACTTTAGCTCATCTTACTAAATATTAATCATAAATCCTGTATGTATAATCCACCCGACTCACGGCCGATCCCCCAGAGTGGATAGGTGGCAATGTTCCAAGGAGCATCATGATCAACAATTTGATTTTTAACATAAGGCACAGGGACGTGCCTTATAAACAGGGGCACATAAGCCAGAAGGTGCCACACCAAGCTCGTGACCCCCCCCCCCCCCCCATTTTTTTTCGCTATGACAGAGAGCAAGAAATGGCCATTTTAAGGTGGTGCCCCTCCCGAAAAAAAAATTTCTGGCTACGCGCCTGTTAAGGCACCATCCGTTTCATGGCCGATTTCCCGTATTGGGTTGCGCCAGGCATCTGAGGGCCAATCAACTACCAGGCATTGTCGAATCCTTTTGCCCTTCTCACCTTCAAGCGTCACGTCTCGTTCTTCTGATTTCTCTCTCTTTTTTAAGCGACATTGTATCTAATTTTATAAGGTACAGTGTCGACAAAATTTCCCTTATGCGTATGAGCCAAGATAATTTATGCGACTACACAAGACAACACCAGGCCAACGAAAAGCTTCAACAGCTTCACTTTTAAAAGTCATCCCACGTATTTGTCACGTTACCGCGTTTTCTTATCGGTATCACGCAAAAGCTTGCGGAGCTGTATAGCAATAGCACGCGGCCCATCGACATTTCACCACAGCGGCCCAACACACACATGCCTGTCTTCTCATATTCGTTTTTTTTAATAACTACGTCTTTGTGAGTCACCCAGACGTGACCGGTTTCAAGCAGCATTTTTTTCCCTACTCATGGGGCTCCGCATCTGGTCACCATGTGTTAACAGGGAACAAAAGCTACACTTAAAAATCGACGTCCGACATATTACATATATATGTTCGAAACCACACGTCAAATCTCCTTCAGAAAGAACCCATACGTGAGATAGGAAATAACTTCTGCGCCTGTACCAGTTGGATTACCATCACCACCCACGGCATTACGTGCAAGCTTCGAGTGACGAAGAACACGCACCGGACCGCTTGTCATCCGAGGCAGCAACAGCGGCGGCGGCGGCTGCCGCAGCTGCAGCGGCCCTGTGGTCCTTGAGAGCTGCAGCCGCAGCCGCCAGGTGCGTGGGAGGCGGCGGCGCGGCCAGCGATGACAGCGCCAGCAAGCCCGCTGCGGTGCTGGGAGGCAGGCCCGCTCCCGGAGGCTGCAGGCCGGCCATGGCCGCGTGCGACAGCATCGGTAGCGGAGGCGCGGGCATTTGTTGCGCCTGCATTTGGTGCTGAACCAACAGAGGCCGACTCAGCAGACGCCAGAGAAGAATCGGCGTCCCAAATGGTCAAGTAAAATAAGAAAGAAGCCACGCCAAGTAGTTCCGGTTGCCGCTAGTGCAGCTTTAGAACGCCTAACACACTAGTCGCAGATTGTGCGCATCCTAAGTGCAGTGTGCATAAACCAGTGGTGCACATCGTCGAATTCATGCTCTTTCGCTTTCGTAGCCCCCACTGCCGACAGTAGGCGGTCGCCTACTGTCGGCGTTGTATCATTTGCACTCAAAATGTATGACCAGTAACTTATACGCAGCTGATCCTCACCATGTGCCCGTCATCATAGTAGACTGCACGTATTGACGTCCCCTGATCAACACGCCCTCACTGCGGAAACGCCGCGAGGCAAAGCACGGAATAAGGAGCACTGACACAACATTTCGAAGACAAGATAATGACTGGCATAGCTTTATGTAGAAACGTACACATGCAACTTGCGTGAAGTATCAAGAAGGAATACAGCCTAAAACGTATTTAAAATCGGTTTTAAAACACATGCCGCGCGACAGCTGAGCTATAGTTACTGTGTATGCTACCTTTAGGTATACGCTACCTAAAGGTAGCATATACAGTAACTCTAATCTGAGCAAGATATGCAGAGCCCCTTCTCGACGTCGACATCAACGAGGTGGTCACGAGTTTGTGTTGGCTGCTTGCTTGCACTGCCTGCGTCCTCCGTGCCTAACGCTTTGCGTGCGCTGGCTGTCAGTGCGGCGCCCACGTCGCAGTGTTGCGTGGTCACGTGGCCAGATGTGTTTATCTTGCCGTTAGAATTGCTTCTGCCCAGCTCGGTGCTCTTTGAAACCAAAACTGCGAGCGGGCGCTGTCAAAACGTTTCTAAATAACTAACCATCATACACTCGCGCAAACAAGGTTTCCAGTCCTGACAAGTGGGTCATAAGCTACCTATTGCAAAAGAAAAACAAATACAAAAAGAAAGGTTCGCATTTTTTTTTTGTGTCAGTGCTCCGTTAAAAGCTGACACGGATCACTGTGTTTTGCCAACTGACGAAATACATTCCTACTTGTAACTGAAGCTCAGAGAGCTCAAGGTTCATCAATATACAAATATGCTAATTATAAGGCGGAAATACGTTTTCATTTTTGAGACCATGGAGCCGGTGGTCAGTTACTCGATAAATGATACTGATAAATGCACGATTACATACGGTGACTAAAGTCCTATATGAGCATCTGTTGGAGTCCCCCCCCCCCCCTATTATTTTCTGACAGCAGATAGTTTGCTCAAGACAGTATAAACTTCAAGGAACGATATAAAAAAAAAAAGGTTGCGTCGTCAAGGGAAAAGGCCGTACATACCCCGATTATGGCATTTAGTTCAGTCATCGTGACTTGTTTGGCACGTTCCACAGCTGCCGCGACTTGTTGCTGGTGCTGCGTTATAGAAGAAAGCAAATGGTATAGCAACAATGACCCCATATATACGGCAAATATCTAAAGTCCGACGCACGTTCATACAAATATATTAAATGGGAACCAACAAAAACAATTGCTAACGCTATGTAACGGCAATACTGCACATCAATGGGTTAATACGTTACGAACACGCATATAACACATGATTAAACAACGCACCTCTTGCGACAGGAAAGGCAGGATCTGAGCGATGATTGCGTTCAACCTCTTGGCAATTTCGGTCTGGAAAAGAAAGGTTAAGCAAATGAAAACCCACAAGGTCTGCTAAGCCTGGGCTCTTAGAAGAATGCGTGCGTCATTCCATGGGAGTTCCGAGATGCACAATGGCTTGGGCCCTCCGTGCAGACTCACCTGCTTGTGCATTTCCACATTGAGACCGTAAGACATTTCGTAGTACTGCGAGGCAAATAGAACGAGCGTCAGAGACAAAGCACAGCCATCGTCCCATGGAGACACAGTGGTACACTGACAGCGTATATGACTCACCATGACGTAGTGCCTCTGCATCTCGGTTTTCTCACCGGCCAACTTTTCGCACTCGAGCTTCAAGTTGTGGTATTGCGCTTGGAGGAAGCCAAATTCCTCTTTAATGCGATCGCAGGACTCTGTCACAGTGAACTTGAACTGCTGGCCCGCCTGCGGCGGAGGACCCTGGAAAACGGAAACAGAGATTCGTTACAACCACGGGCGTTGGCAGGATTTCGTCTCGGAATATTGTAGGATCTTGGTTGTGGGAGGGGGGGGCGGGAGTGGTGGCAAGTGCAGGTGTGGTTTGAGGGGGACACGTGCCCCTTTCGCACCGCTCTGCTGTCCCGCCGCGGTGGTCTAGTGGCTAAGGTACTCGGCTGCCGACCCGCAGATCGCGGGATCAAATCCCGGCTGCGGCGGCTCCATTTTCGGTGCAGGAGAAAATGTTGTAGGCCTGTGTTACTCAGATTTGGGTGCACGTTAAAGAACCCCAGGTGGTCGAAATTTCCTCCACTACGGCGTCTCTCATAATCATATGGTGGTTTCGAGACGTTAAACTCCACATATCAATCAATGCTCTTATACGTACCAGTTTGTGTTTCCGACGCGGGTGAAGGTATCTGGTTAGGATTCGCTTTCCTGTGCCGCATCATCGGCTCTGACATCGTCTTCGGTGGTCGCTCTTACTTTGGCGACCAGCTCGAATATGTACAGATGCACAGCGAACTCATTCGACTTCCGCATTTCGCCATACTAACAACAACACAATGATGTCATAGAGCTTCGACCAATCACAGCGGCAGCGAGACTCACGATGGCAGCCGTGGCGCCCGTTGCTTGTTTCCATAAAAAATTAAGTTATTTGCTTTTTTTAAATTTTCGACTTGACTTTCGAATTCGCCGCACGAAATTACAAATCATGCATGACACAATAAACTCGTTTTTTTTTTGTAAGTGCCCTCAGCAGGACATGATGTAGAGCTGACATGGAGAATTCAACAAGCCAATGAACCTTCTTGTTTAAAAAAATTTTTGATGCCAAACTTGGGTCTCAGTGAACCTCCTGAGGCGGCTATTACACGTGTTGGCTAACGAGTAGAAGCGAGCATTGGTGCACCATCAAATGGTTGTTCTAACCCCTCTTTGCTCGGCCGCGAAAAGGCTCGTGTGGCCACCCTTGACGAAAGTATATTTCTCTATGATGTGGGTCTTTAAGAGCGTCAATCGGCCGAAATGCTGTAGGCCCGTGTGCTCAGATTTGGGCACCCGTTAAAGAACCCCTGGCGATCGAAATTCCCGGAGCCCTCCACTACGGCGTCTCTCAATTATATGCAGTGCGCTCACGGCATCCGGTGATTCGAAATCATTAGGCGAATTCAACTTCCCCAGTACCGAATCACTTAACCCAGGTGCGATTAGTATGGGTGCCAGGGCATAGAGGCATAACTCTAAATGAAACAGCTGATGCACTTGCGAAACCGGCGTTAGACGGACCAGCTATCAATATTACCCCTACAACAGTCTTTACAGTAGCTTCTAGATTTCGGAGGCAAACGAGGATGCGAGAATTCTCTACACTATTTAAAAAAAAATTATCTGAATTTCAACCATCTAATGACACCGTGGAAAACTTCCTGATGTCATAACCGATGCCTGGAAGTTTTAATCACTCGATTACGCAGTCGTATTCCTCCATTTTTATTTGTTTAGAGCAGGCTTGACTCCCTCCCCACTTCGTTCTTTTTGTCGAGACGAAAAAACTGTGGAGCACTTTTCCATCTCTTGTAGAAAGTTTTCAACATTTAGAAAAGTATCAGTAGAAATACCATTACGAATCCTTGGCTTAGCTTTGACAACGTCAAATTCACTATCTCTAGGTGCACACACCCTGCACAGCAACGGGAAAGTGTGCGCGGTCGTGCAAGATTTTATTGTACAGTCCAAGAGACCACCGCGGCGGGACAGCAGAGGGGTGCAAAAGGGGGCACATGCCCCCATCAAGCTACACCAGCACAATACCGAAAGGTCCTCAGTTAACCCATGTAGGCTATAGAAATTTTTTTTTATATCAATCATTTATTGCTAAGTCAGTAGGAACTAATTCATCAAAAATTTCTTCTCAAAAATAATTTACAAAAAACAATATTTCGGATAACTTTCTTTTCGCCAGTATTTATTATATACATTCGTTTCTTTTTTTGTAAGCTACCCGATTCTTGGCCGATCCCCCAGGGTGGGTGCGAGGCACGAGTTTAGGATTTACATCTACATTATATATGGTGGTCTTGGGACGTTGATTGATATGTGTGGTTTAACGTCCCAAAACCACCATATGATTATGAAAGACGCCGTAGTGGAGGGCTCCGAAAATTTTGACCCCCTGGGGTTCTTTAACGTGCACCCAAATCTGAGCACACGGGCCTACAACATTTCCGCCACCATCGGAAATGCAGCCGCCGCAGCCGGCATTTGATCCCGCGACCTGCGGGTCAGCAGCCGAGTACCTTAGCCACTATAAGACCACCGCGACGGGGCGGTTTTGGGACGTTAAACCACACATATCAATCAATGAGGATCATCAATCCACTACACGAGCATTATCACACGTTTGTCACAAACAGAAGGGCAACTGACTGTGTATGTCAGTTCGCTGCAGTTTCACAAGAGCCTCAGACGATGATAACATACACACACCGCTCTGGACGGTGTGTCGGTTCAAGCAATCGAGATAACGCCATTTGAGTCTTATCGATATTAGTCGAACAATTCTTACTTCATTTCTCAAGGCTTAACATATACAGGAAAAAAAATAGTTGCTGTTCATGATTTGAAGGTGCAATAAGATGCGCCAATTGACCATTATCTTCGTTACACTTGTCGATAACCAGCGGCGGAAAACGTGACGGCTTCAACAGTGTAATGGCGAGAAACGGAAAAACTCGGACCATGTCCCAAAGGGATCCCTGATGGGATGCGAAGCAGCAGTGTTGCGCACGGGTTGAACGGTGCTAACGCGGGTGCTGCTGTGGGCGCTGGAAGATTCATTTGAAGCGATGGCTGGCGTAGATCTTGTAGGCGACACTTGCAGACATGTTTCAACGCGTATACGTTAGACGCGCGTCAGGTTTATTGTGCGTGAACCAACAAGTCGGCGGTCGCGGCAGCTGTGGCGAGCGCACGGGAGGCGAAGGAAGCGTGACGTCAACGCGCAGCAGCGGCGTGACCTACTTGGCACCACGCCAACACCTGCGGCGCGTTCGTATACGAAGGGACAGCGTAACACACGCCAGTCAAAGAGCTGCTTCGCACCTAATACTTCGCCCGGTTCAGTGCAATAAGCGTACCCACAAACGCGTTCCGCGCCCTCATATGCAGGTAGGTGTCACGTGAGACCAGTCGCATCAGTAGCAGACTGTTCTCGTAGGCGAGACAGGAGTGGCATACGATGGCTAAGAAAAATCTGGAGTCACTGTGTATGCTTCTTTTAGGAGTAGCGCATTTGTTTTCTATTGCCGTTAGCAACCAAGCACTGCAGAAAAGCTGGTTCACAGCTTTTACACAGTGCACAGGCCCCGCTGCCGGAAGCGGTCGCCGCCCACCAGGCATCTATCAGGTGACTGTCGTGCGCTCTGTAGTTCGTTAGCTACGAACTGGTGCTTTTATTTGCTTTATATTCATGTCTAAGTTTCGGCGGCAAAATATCTGCACAGATTCGGCGCCCGTTTCGGAAAACATGCTGAAATAATCAATGATGTAGGCTTAGTCGGGCGCTCCTTCAATCTCGGAGGACTTGTATTTTGTGTTTGTGAGTTGTTGCTTATCTTCCATAGCTAACGCCACCTGACCATGCGGCAGCAGCGGTGCATGTTATTCGGTACTACGCTAGCCTTTGCGTTACCAGACAGACTAAAACACGCTTTTGAACTCCCGTGGCAGTCCCGAAAGGAGGTATTTTTTCTTTCTTCGCCAGTCGTTGACACGCCAGACACGTCGACTGGCGACACGCTTCACCGATCGGCGACAGGCTTAAGCAAGTCGCTAGCAAAAACAGAGCACGGCTTATATTCAGGCACTATACCCGTAGGGAGCACATACAGTTACACTAGACTAGCCGGATTGTAGGTGCCATCTGGTTGCGCACACTTTAGACGAAGAAATACGTAGGTTTTATTGCAGCAACCACGCATACAATGGATCTTAAAGATTGCCTTCTATTAAAGCACACTCAACTAACATAAAAACGCGCCTTCTAAGCACGTATATTACACAAACATGGCACCTAGATGGACGTCCTGTACTGCAGAGTCAGCACCCTAACCAAGGGTTTTCTATAGGGTGGCGGAGAACCTTCTATCTGGACTGTTGCAACGGTGACGTCATTGCCGCGGCAGTGCATATGTGGGTGGTCATGCACATTTACAACAGACCAGAGGGTATTATGGCGGCACCCAGAAAGCCCTCGGTGGCACCCATGAACAGCACCACCAAGTAAGCAACGATGTTCATATGCACAGATAAAATAAAACAAAAGCTTTCCTACCAATTCCTTCGATTACCATCCGCGGTCGGCCAAATGACTAAATATTGCATGGCGGACTGCAAACATGCTGCGCTGACACGTCATTGGCAGCAACGGGCTGGACCAACCGACATGCGCAGAGAGAACGGCGAAGCCAGCCGAATCGCGAGCGTTTACAAGGGCATACGAATGTATCGATATTGGATTGACATTAAGGAACACCGCCCACTGTCGAACAGCGTTTGGACGCAACAGAGACTGCATCGGCTCACGCGGTGCCTGGGAAGCTGTGCTACTGTCGCACTGTCCGCCCTTCTTAGAAAGGAGCCCGTTCTCTCCCCGCATCGAGGAATAACGCCTGGAAGACAACTGCGACAGAGTTGACACACCGCGGGAGGCCACGTTCTTCGACAGTCGTGCGCAGCCGGCCGATTGAGGCGTCGGCCGGCGCGGCTCTACGCGCAGCGAGCGCCAACGACCCATCAGCGTGTCGACCTCGAAAGGCGCGCTACATCATCGCAACAGCAGCGGTGGCTGCACACGTCAGCCGAGCGCAGCGGCGGCAAGGGCGCGCAAACGAGGAGGCGAGAAGGAAATAAGCGGCACAGCAGGCGACGACCCGTGCTTCAGCAGAGTGTGTGCGTGTACGCGAACAAGACGGCGC